GCCCGTAGGGGCCGTGAGTGAGGAATAATCCGGAGCGGAGCTGGGTAAACATGATCCTCCAGCGTAATGAATCAGTCCATAGCACTTCCTTGACAACGGGAGCCTGTCGGGTATAAATGAAAACACACGCATAAATATTCTCCCTGGTTAATATTTTACCAGCTGCCCCCCCGCCCCGCGAACACATGAAACGGCACAAAGTGATGAACCAGCATCCGTCTGAACGCCGGCCATATGTTGTTGCACATTTCCTCTGACTGTCTGTGGGTTCAGAGAGAGAGGAGCAGCTTGTTTTCACTCTTCCAGGGCGATTAATCATCATTTCAGACATTTCTCTGAAGTGGAGAAGAAGAACTCTCCTCCGCTCTGATGTTTGTTTGCTCTTCAGCACCCTTCAAACTCCTCGAGCAGAAAGGTTTTCATTAAACAACCGCAGCCCGAATGAAAAAGCAGCTCAGGTGAGTCCTGGTTTCTAGATGAGGAAAAGGAGATGTGGGTCTAATTAGACCACCCACTCTCTCGGTGGACCTCCTGTCACTGCCGGGGCCCAAACGCTCTCTTTAATTACTCACAGAGAAAAGAGGATGTCAAGTGAAAATAGCAAATAGGCTCCATGTAAGACATGCTGGATGATTTCTGCTCTGGGGCGGCAGAGATTCAGGCTAGAGCGCCGGGAAGACATGCAATCCATCAGAGAGAGAGAAAGAAAGAGAGAGAGAGAGAGAATAATTATGAGATTAGCATAAAAGACTTTAAAAAGGAGGAAATACAAAAAAAAGATCAAGTTTAGTTTGAGCTGGTTTCCTGACTGTCGTGGGTTATTTCCTGATAAATAAACCCACTCCAGTTCTCCGTCTGATCATCTGTGTTTCTCTTTTCCAGCGTCAGTTCAGAGATTCCTGGAGAGGACAAAGACTGACATCCTGGATTCTGGAGAGAGTTTCCTCGGCGTCGTGCTCAGCATCAGAAAAACGGTAAGATGCTGTAAAATCCAGAGAGACTCGGCGGCTGTCCGTCTGAGCGTCGTGTTCATTTATAAGAAACACGGTTTTCTTTGTTACGTTCAGAGGAAGTGAGGATGGTACAAATAACCAGCTGAACATGAACACATGAACATGAACACATGATAACTGTGTTCATGTTAGATCTAACTCCCTCATCGTAGAGCTGATCTAATCTCTCTGGATCTATTCGACCTCATGACCTCCAGTCCAGATTTTCTCGTTCCTGATAATTAAACTCTGATGTTTTCATGTTAGTCTGCTCCGGGTTTTATGAGAAACCAGACTGACAACTGATGAGAGAAACCTTGTACCCTGACACACCTGTGGCACATCCAGATTACCCACAAACCCCCTGAATGATAAGTGAGCGAGAGAAAGCGAGAAGCAGCTGCACGCCTCGACACGACAGAGAGAGAGAGAGAGAGTCGAACACAAAGTTGATGTTTTTCTAGGTGGAGGAGAAACAAGACAACGCCGCATTCTTTGGCATGTTGGTGGGTCGCACACCTCCTCCTCGGTTACCATGGTAACAGCCGTCCCTGCAGAGCAGGGGTTCCGGCTCAATCCCGGAGGCCACAGTTTGATTGAATGGTTGTCAAGATGTAAGACGAATGATGACGTGTAAGAGCCCCGCTGACAGACACACTTCACACAGAGGCGCAGTCAAAGGCAATAAACGCTCTGAGTGTGTGTGTGAGTGTGTGAGCGTGTGAGCGTGTGTTAGTGTGAGTGCCAGCATGTGTGTTTACAGCATGTATTAAAGAGTGGGTCAGCGGGGGGTCGAGAAGGAAGCCTGAGAAAATATCAATGAGTCTCCTGGTCCTCTCTCTCTCTCTCTCTCTCTCTGTCTCTGTCTCTTTCTCTCTCTCTCTCTCTCTCTCTCTCTCTCTCTCTCTCTCTCTCTCTCTCTATACGTTTAACAGAAACTCTCTTGTTAATAAACAGGCGCCGCGGTGAAATAACCCGCCGTGACACCTTTATTAGAGACGTGCTGCTGCTCCAGCCTGAATCACACTCAACTTAAGAAAAACTGTGAATTTAACAGTCAGACACTTTTCAACTTCTAAACATTAACGATAGACGAGCATCAGAGAATCAGAGGACTGACATTTGGAGCAGACTCAGACGCTCTCGGCAGGTAAAAACACATTATTGTTGTTAAAGTCTGAGCTGTTCTGTGATTTAAAGTCTATCTACAGGGATAATTATTAAAAGACATTTTCTTCTTCTTTACTCTGAGTTTGATCATCATCCTCACACACTTTCTAATAAACACACACGTACACAACCATAACTGAAGTTTCAGTTCAGCTGACCTCACTGCAGTCATTACGGCACTTTGACCTCTGTCTGTAGAAACTGAAGTGAAAACAGTTTTTCAGGTCTGAAGTCTTTACTGACGTTTTTATTATTGGACAAAAACTCTGATCAACATTTCAACACTTTAAGTCGAGTGAGAAACAGCAGACAGTTTAGATATAATGTTGTTTTATATTTTAATATTGAGAACAGTCCAGACTTTGGGACATGTGTAAATCAGGATATGTATGAATATGATTGTACTTTATAATACACATGATAAGACTCTAACCTCTAACCTGGTTATCCTGCATGAAGACTGTCAACATTAAAAACAAGCAGGAATACAAACAAAGAAATAAAGATAAAGTCTATATTTGTTCCCTCTGCCAATTACAAACCATTACAGACCATGTGCTTTCTGTGCAGGAGCCTGAAAGCAGTGGTGGCGATGAGAGCGGCGGCAACAGTGGCGGCGGTACGAGCCAATTGCATAAGTGGTTCTAAAATGGTGTGGTTCCTTTTATGACGCCCTAAACAGGCCGTTTCATTAGAGGTGAATGTGGAACAGAGGAAGGTCACACATGTGTTTCATAGACTTCCAGCTGTCACTGCACAACATCCCATAATACTCCTAATGTAATGTGAGTGCAGCTACAGTCAGCTGAGACCCTGTGACTGTGTGTCTGCATGAAACGCTTCAGAGGGACTCAGTGATAAATACACAGGATATAGGGTAGTATAGTATACACACAGGATAAAAAAGGATAGGACAGTATAGTATACACACATTATATTATAGTATAGTATAGTATAGTATAGTATAGTATGTAGTATAGTGTAGTATAGTATAGTACAGTATAGTATTGTATAGTGTAGTATAGTAAAGTATAGTGTAGTATAGTACAGTATAGTATAGTGTAGTGTAGTATAGTGCAGTATAGTATAGTACAGTATAGTATAGTGTAGTATAGTATAGTCTAGTGTAGTATAGTAAAGTATAGTGTAGTATAGTCTAGTGTAGTATAGTAAAGTACAGTGTAGTATAGTATAGTCTAGTGTAGTATAGTGAAGTATAGTGTAGTATAGTATAGTACAGTATAGTATAGTGTAATATAGTGTAGTATAGTATAGTATACTATAGTATAGTATATAGTATAGTGTAGTATAGTATAGTACAGTATAGTATAGTGTAGTATAGTATAGTACAGTATAGTATAGTGTAGTATAGTATAGTACAGTATAGTATAGTGTAGTATAGTATAGTACAGTATAGTATAGTGTAGTATAGTATAGTGTAGTATAGTATAGTGCTGTATAGTATAGTACAGTATAGTGTGGTATAGTATAGTGTAGTATAGTATAGTATAGTATAGTGTAGTATAGTATATAGTGTAGTACAGTATAGTATAGTGTAGTATAGTATAGTGCTGTATAGTATAGTACAGTATAGTGTGGTATAGTATAGTGTAGTATAGTATAGTATAGTATAGTGTAGTATAGTATATAGTGTAGTATAGTATAGTACAGTATAGTATAGTGTAGTATAGTATAGTGTAGTATAGTATAGTATAGTATAGTGTAGTATAGTATATAGTGTAGTATAGTATAGTACAGTATAGTATAGTGTAGTATAGTATAGTGCTGTATAGTATAGTACAGTATAGTGTGGTATAGTATAGTGTAGTATAGTATAGTATAATATAGTTTTGTATAGTATAGTATTAACACACAGGAGATTATAGTGTAGTGTAGTGTAGTGTAGTGTAGTATAGTACAGTGTAGTGTAGTGTAGTGTAGTGTAGTGTAGTACAGTATAGTACTGTATAGTATAGTATAGTGTATAGTGTAGTGTAGTGTAGTACAGTATAGTACTGTATAGTATAGTATAGTATAGTATAGTATATTACAGTTTTGTATAGTATAGTGTGTAGTGTAGTGTAGTATAGTGTAGTGTAGTATAGTATAGTATGGTATAGTATACACACATATATTCAGGTGTGCTGCATGCTTTTATCTGTGCTCTGGGGGTTCGGACAGCCACAGGAGGATACAGGTGAACATGAGACCAGATCAGGAGTAAACCGTTCATTTAGATGGAGACGTTAAGATCACACACTGTGATAAAAATCAGGATACTGTTATACTGGGAGTACTGGTCCTTTACGCTGGCTGCAACATGTTTTTTAACAGAGAACAGAAGAAGAAGAAGGTTGTGAACAGGTTTATTTCTGCTGTCTGAGTGTTTGAACTTAGAGAAAGTCTGAAGTGATGGACTCTCAGAGACGTTTCTGCACCTGTCTGCTCCATCACAGCTGCAGACCCACTGTAAGTATGACCTTTGACCCCCTTCACAATCTGATGTCAAGTGTTGACACTGTACAGGAGAAACACACACACACACACACACACACACACACACACACACACACACACACACACACACACACACACACACACACACAGAGTTATTGTGATGTTTATACTCTGGATGGTGTTCAGCTCCTGGATTTAAATGGACCGTCACAGAAGGACACACACTCAGACTCAGCTCCAATATATGATACTGTTCAAACTGTATTTTCCCAGAGCTCCTCAGTGTGTGTGTGTGTGTGTGTGTGTGTGTGTGTGTGTGTGTGTGTGTGTAGATGGTGCTGATGGTCAACAGAAACTCTGCAGTCAGCTCCTTTTCTCCAGGAGGAGGGCGACACCGTTATTTCCATGGAGACGAGAAAGAGAGTGCGGTGCTGGAGGGGGGGGGCTGCGTGGAGGAGAGGTGTGTGTGTGTGTGTGTGTGTGTGTGTGTGTGTGTGTGTGTGTGTGTGTGTGTGTTGGGATGATAAATGAGTCTACACCACGCTGTCATTTGTACTTTGGCGTCCGGTCCAAAGCAGAATTAGGTGTAAAATATTGCTGCGTCTGGTTCAGATGACAAAGTTTAATGTTGATGTATGAAGAGACAGAGACCATCCCCAGCTGCTATTGAACTGAGGGAGGTTTCTATTCTTCTCAAAGGGCAATTAATTAGTGAACACACAGGGCAGGGACAATGGAGGAGGGCGGCCATCTTTGTTTCTTCTGTGTGTAACAACAGGACGACGGAGGAGGAGGAGGAGGAGGAGTGATTGGTGATGTTAGAAACTCCTGAGAGAGAGAGAGAGAGAGGAGCAGAGACTTCATTTACATTTACAAAGTTAGAAAACTCACCCATCGTTCACAGATTCATCCTTAGATTAGAGACGAAGGTGGTTCATCAGGTCAGATCGGTGTTAACCAGGATAGAGATTTTCACCATCCGCCAATTCCTGCTGTATCCGTTGGTGAAGTGAATTTCGTGAAAAGAAGCTGGATGTTTTAAAATCAAACTCTTGTGATCAGCTGAGGAGTCCGGCGATCCGCAGAGGAGCAGGAAGAAACGATAAACAGAAAAACATGGTCTTCTTCTTCTTCTGTGTTTATGAAAAGTTTCTGTCTAACTTCATTATTGTTCAAAGTCATGTATTCGACTCCTGAAGGGACCGTTCATCAGTTCTTCACTTTAGGAGCTGTGACTTTGTTTTATTAATCCTCAGTAAATTAACTGTCAGATTTCACTGCTGCTGAAGTTTTTACTCTGTGTCATAAAAACTGAAGGATTTCAGCTCTTTTATGTTTTATCAGGACTCAGGTCAAACTAATTATTCTGTTTTTTAAGCTTTAATAAAACGTCCGTTAAAACCTGAAGACCTGAGATCCAGTTTGATAGGATTCAGAACCACGTCTCTCAGTTCTCAGTCTGTTAGATCGATAAACAGCTGATCACTGCAGACTCTCTCTCCTCACACTCACTCTGTCCCTCTGCTTTTCAGACACACGGACGCACACATCTGCTCTGCTTTGACTCTGTCGTGATTCGGTTCCTCTTTTTCCGGCTGGTGTTGCCGTGACGATCCCAGTGTGACTGCAGACTGGGACCTTCTGCTGAGTCCAGATCTGTGATCCACCGACTCTCAGACCTCAGGAGACCTTTTCTCTGAGTCATCTCCTTAAAGGGACTCGAGCGTTAACAGAAAAACCACCGTCACCACCTTCTCACCGAGTTTCCATGAGCGTGCCCGGCAGCCGGAGCTTCAGCAGTAAATGAAAAGTTTGCAGATGCACATTTACATTAGATGAAATTTTAATGAGCCCCATGAGGGAAGAGGATAATAAGCCCATAATGTCTGAAAGTAGCTGAGCCCGATTTTATTCTCCTGCTAACAGCTTTAAAAACCATCGAATTAAGACAGAAGAAAAACAGCGTTTAGACCTGTCCGCACTCTGTATTATTTCCTTATTTATGTCTTCATTTAGTTTTTCTTAATTACTCTGAGAAATATCTTTAAAATGGTGTCTCTGTGACGAACAGAGTAACCCAGCTCAGGATAATAATGAGAATATCTGTTATAAAGTTATAAAGTTTGTTCAAATAACCGACGTCTACGTTCAGTTTCATTTTAGGTCTGAATGTTTATTTGACTTTTTTAAAACAACATAACTGTAATATTTAGATCTTTATTACAGCTGTTATATTAAGTCTGTAGGGACATAATTCATCTAAAGACAGTTTGAATCAGAATAAACAGAGACACTAACAGAAGCTCAGCCGTCTCTAACCCTAAACTCTCGTCCTCTCCTGTCCTTCATCCACTTCTCCTCCAGCCTTCATCGTTTTCGGTCGAACTCAGAGGTTTGTTCACGTTAAAGTGAACCAGAAAGATCACGGGTGCCATGACGACTCGAGACGCCCGTTTGGTCGTTAAAGCATCGATCCACAGTGAGCAGACGGTCAACTTTTCTGACTCCATCTTTAATCTCCGTCATTTCACCAGATTAAAAAGTTATTCTTGGACTGTTTTTTTCCCAGCAGGCATCTGGGTTTGTGGAGGAACCAAAACTTGAACAGTAACAACGGCTGAATCTCCAACAGAAGGCCATGACAGTTCACACGTTGCCGTGAGTCAAGAGTTTTCTGTGTTAAAGCTGTAGTAGGTAGTTTTTAGCAGGTAACTGCAGAGTCAGCAGCTCGACCCAAACTCCAGCAAGATTTAAGAGAATTTTATTGGTATGCAAATGTTGGCTGAGGCCTTAAATAAGGATGAACTAAAGAGACGAGCCGAGTCCAGATAGTCCTCCGGTCATGTTTTAGTCCATCTTCAGACAGAGACGCTGTTTTAGCTGCAGTCGAACCGGTTAGTCTCAAACACACTCATCTCTGTTTTCTGTTGAGGAAACTGGATTTAAAACAAATATCTTCTGAGAAAAACTGATCTGGGTCATAAATCCAGACAAAGACTCATTCTCATAGATTTGAACCTCCTTTTAAACACAGTGACCTTCCTCTGAACTCAGAGACGCTCCTGCATTAAAGTCCAAGACTGAAAAATAAAAACCTGTCAGTGAAATGAAATCCTCTCAGAGTCAAAGTTAGTATCTACACCTGTGCTCAAGTGTCTTTTCTCATCACTTTTCTCATCATCCTCATAGTCAAACATCAGCAGCATCAAATCCTCGTTAAGTTCTATCATCTCCACACAGATTATGAGGACTGGACTAACGAGCTCTCAGGTTTACAGAGGAGAGGTGACCCGGTCTGAGAGATCTTCAGATAAACTCGTATCAAACAGACCGGAGAGTCTTCAGGGTAAACGCTGAGCTGCTGTTTCTGTTCAAGGACGTCTTCAGAACCTCCTCCTCCTCTGACCCAGATCTCACTCATGTTTCTGTGAAAGTCGGATATTTTAGTGTTCAAATACTTTTATAATTCTGTAATTTATTGAGATTTTAAACTGTTTTCAAAGTCAAACGAACATAAAATCTGCAGAAACGTTTTAAGACTTCAGAGCTAATGATGGTGATCTTCAGAGGACATGTGGTCGAATATTTGGTGCTTTTTTAACTCTTTAGTGTTTCTGATTCAGAGCGAGTTAACCATAAAGACAAACTCCCTCCTGAGCACAGGGGGCGCTCCTTCGCCCATACAGGGGGCGCCATAATGAAGACAAACAGAAAGTTCCTCTGATAGGTTGATGCTGTAGTTTAATTTTAACTGGTTAAAATGGTTGAAATGAGATCTTGGACATTTAGACCAGATTAAAATCTCGTTTAGATTAAGATTATGAATCGTCAAACGTCGTGTTTTAACTTGTCAGGCCTGATTTCTCGTCTTTAGTTAACCTGGACTCTCTTCTCTCTCTTAAAGGGGCAGAAACCTCCTCCTGGTGTCGACGTGTCCGTCTTCTAAAGAGGTAAAATAACGGAGGATAAAGACGACGGAGCGATCCAGTCTGGTAAATGTCACTTTTTAAAGATCAGAGTAAAGAGGAGGAATTCTGCCGTCGGAGATGAAATGAAAAGTGTTTCACTCTTTAAGTGTTAAAGCTTCGCAGTATTATGGTGTCCCATTCTCTCCCATTAATCTCCCAATATTCCATCGCTGTGAAAACCTATTTATAGAGCGGAGGATGATTAAGTGCTGGAGCTCGGTGCCACAAAGGGACCCGGCTCATTTTCTTTTTCTGGACTCTCTCTCTCTCTCTCTCTCCCTCTCTCTCTCTCTCTCTCTCTCTCTCTCTCTCTCTCTCTCTCTCCCCTCTGTGTCTTTATCATCCTTCACACCATCCCCTCACTCTTCCTCTCAAGTACATACAGTATATCTCTCACACCCCCTCCTCCACTTTACAGAGTTTAGTTGTGGGTTCAATTACAGCGGACTCGGGGGGGTGAGGATAAGCGGTTCAGTCCCATTTTTTTTCGACTGAAGCGTTCGTGTTAAAAGTGTTAATTAGGAGACGATCTGAGGAAGAGTGACAGCCTGAACAGAAGAGGGTAAAGGTCCGACGCTGACAGGGGTCCGTTTTAGAGGGACACGTGCACGCAGAGATCCTGCTGCTCCTCGGTGTCCTTGAGAAGAAGTAGAGCAGAGCACATGAAAAAAGGATCAGCTCATTTTCATGAATACAGACGTGATTAATGGAGGAGAAGAACGGAGAGAGGAGGAGGAGGAGGAGGAGGAGGAGGAGAGGACTGACCTCAGCAGAGCCAAAGAGCAGCTCCAGAACTGTGAGAGTATAAATGAGATCAGACCGTCTTCATGTCTCCACACTGGATCTGATGGTCCAGGTTTCCTCTCCTGGATCTCACTGAGTTTATCTTCAGGGTGGATTTGATAGAGGAGCTTACTGCAGATACTGAGGACTAGGCCTGAACGATATATCGTTTGACTATCGTCATCGCGATGTACGTGTGTGCGATAGTCACATCGCAGAGCCTGCGATATTGGAGGTGAATGAACTCATTTAATTTCAAGGGTAACCGACTGAGATACACTCCATGTGACTCTGCATGTGCTGTGCAGCGATCCACCAATCACCTTCGTCCTTAACTCAGTTGCCAATCAGACTCACTTCTCAGTTGCCAATCAGACTACCCTGCCAGCTGTCAATCAAAATCAGGGAGGAGAAAACCCACCCCTGCACATGTTCTGCACATGGAGGGAGACGTGTGTCCGCTGAGAATTACTTTCGGAACTTTACTCATGACTATTAAGCCCAACAAATAAGAACTGTATGGGTTTTAAATTGTACATTTCCGTGGACCACTCTACTATAAGCAGTGCGCGTTTTGCGAGGTGCATGCAATTCTCGGAGGACATGCGTTTCTCGGCACAACACCGGTAACAACAACAACAACGATCGCAAAATGAGCAACGAACAATAGAAAACCACCGAAAATGAAGATTTGTTGCCAAAAAGAAAAGGAAAGTCAGTTATCTGGAATTATTTCGGTTAAAAGAAGGATGATGTCGACCAAAACACGTCTTCTGTGTTCATCTGTCGCCACAATAACGTCCCAGCACAATAAAAGCTAAAAATATCTCTGAGACAGACAGAAGCCGTTCTACTAACATTCACAAAAGAGGTAAGATCAGAGCAGATTAACTGTCCTCAAGATTTCAGCAGTGCAGCATAACATTAAGTGCTATTCAGGTCATCTGGTGAAAATACTGTATTTTTAATATCGCAATATATATCGCAGGGTTGAAAAAATCGCAATATTATTTTTTTCCAATATCGTGCAGCCTTACTGAGGACCCTTCCTAACAAGAATTTGTCTATTAAAGATTTGTAAGAGAGAGAGACGCTGAAGGAGATTGAGACGAGTTGAATACATTAGAGAGAGCAGAAAGGTGTGTGTTTGAGAGAGGAGGGGGTTTATGTAACCGTCCAACTGAGCCGATTTTGTTTTAGTGCCTCTGAGTCGAAGAGTTTTGGACGGAGAGGAGCGTATGTGCTTCAATCTGCTCCAAACAATCAGCGCCTGACAAATTGGTCACACTGTTTAGCATTTCTGTTTATCTGTCCAATATATTTTGGTACCACTGCAGTCTTGGCAGCTCATGAAAACACTGGAGCTGCAGCGGCACACACACACACACACACACACACACACACACACACTCCCTCTACCTTGAGTTATTTTTAATAAATCCCTAAACAGACAATTTCATAATTCCCAAATCCAGGCAGCGTCAGATGTTGTTTGGTCTGAAGCTGAAATGGATCCTGTTTCTGAAGGTGTGGGTTTGATTCCTGCTGAATTGGGTGTAAATGAAGGTCTGACTCTGTGGAAGTGGAACAGCAACTTTCAGTCCTCCTCACTGAAGCAGTATGAGCCTGAAAAGCTATTAGAGCATGACTCCTGTGAGATGAACAAGACAAAAGCGTTACGCCTCTACCTTTCCGGAAGGTGAGAACAATACCGGCCTATTTTCACTCTGACAAGCCATATTAGTCGTGCCAGCTTTTAGCCTGCCGGCGGCGGTGGCGGCGGCGGCGGCGGTGGCTGCTGTGTGATAGCTGTCTGGGACATTTTGTTTCCAGTCACAGTCGCTGATCCCTTGATTGAAAACATTGAATGCTGAGAGGGTGTTATCCCTGTTTGGAGGTTCTGATCCGGGTTTCTGCTGGGCCCTCTCATCCCCCGCTGCAGCAGTTGATCCCCCGATCTTTGGGGGGACAGACTGGATCCCATTACTGAGAACGGAGGGGGAAACAGGCTGGAGTTACTGCTCCTGCTCCAGAGGAGGTCTTCAGAGAGAGAAGCTGAAGCCTTACAGACCCCCGGACTTCACAGAGGTCGACACAGAAAGAGGAGTACGAGGGTCCGAGATCTGAGCTCCAACAGACTGTTTTTTATAACTGATAACGGAGGAAACTGTTTGTTTATTCGATCAAATACACATGCAGTATAATTTTAGACAAGAAATCCCCTCATGTTTATTTTGGAGATGGAAAAGGAGCAGGTTGAAGTTATTTATCTTCTATGTACCAACCCTCATTCCTTCCTGAATGCCTGAGGTCTGACTCGGTGTTTTTTTCACCTCTGGTGTCTCAGTGAAGGTCTAGTTTCATATTTCTGGTTGATGTGATGATCAGGACGGCGCCGTTCTTTTGTCAATGGTCTGTAAAATGTTGAGAATGAGATCCGACCCTAATGAGGAACTAATGAGGACCCTGAGAGTCCATTATGAAAGCCCCAGAGGAGCACCAATCAGCCGTGTGCGTCTCTTCTTTATTTACACTTCCATACACTGGTCTCTTCCTCTTCCTCTTCCTCTTCCTCGCTGACACTGAGGACTGAGGACTTGGTTGGTTTCTCTCCTGTATCACAGTCTCAGTTCTTCTCTCATCCTCGTTTTTTTCTCTGCAGACGGACCTTCGGCACCGACGAGTCCGAGCGTTAGACTCACTTTCTGTAAACGAAGCAAAGATTTCTATTTGATGGTCCAAATACGTCTGCAGACAGATGCATGTGTGCACGTCTGTGTGTTCTTCTCTTTCTTTCTCTTGGTGTTACACACATGCACACACACGTGCACAGAGGTCTGTTTTCTCCTCGCTCACACACACAGAGAAATGCCCTGTAAGGACGTCCTTATCCTGCAAACCAGACTCTGCTGGATGCTCAGTAATAACAACTCCAGCCGTCTCCCATCCTTTCAGCGCGGCTCTCTGCTGTGTCTGAAAACACGGGTGTGTTGGAGTCTCTGTCTGCCTCCATGAATATGTATATTTATTATTTTCTCTGAGATCTGAAAACACAAAGCCCAGAGAGCTTTTATTCTCCTGACAAGAATACTGAAGAAATCAGCTCACTGCAAAGACAGAAACACTCTTTATTCATTCAGTTTCTTTGTTTTCAGATGTGGTTCATGTTCAAAAATGACAGACTATAATATTTATCTAATGAACGACTTCGTTAACACAGACATGATGAACACGCTGAAGTTAAGTGGACTATGAGCAGGTTTTAGGGTCTCAGGGTTTAAGGAGGATATTTAGACGTCTGTTCTTAAAAACGTGGATCAGGTTTTTGATGGCACAGGTACATGAAATCATCAGTAAATTAAAGTCTGTAAATCAGAGTCCAAACGTGTTTGAAGATGATCCTGATTCTTGTCTGAAATTAGGGCGCAGATTTATCAAACTGGTATTTAGTGAGAATCTTTTCTTTTGAAGGGACTTTAAACAGCAGGAAGAATATTTTAGAATATTTTGACCTCCTCTTAAAGGAGTCAGGAGAGTTTTTATTGGTCCAGTTAGACCCACGGAAAAGAGTCATAAACCCTGAGGTTCATTTTCTGACTTGTTACAGTGAGTAAGTGAGTGAGTTACTATCACTTTAATGTAATCGATCTGTTTGTTTACCCCTGTCACCTGACATCTACGAGCTCCCTGATTGGACAGCTCTGGTACCTGTGCTGCTGCGTTCATGGAGAGTTGATGATGTTTTTGAGGGTCCAACGACTGACAGGAACCTGATTTAGCATACTTTTAACGGCACACCTACTCTCTTCCAGCAGACGCTTGTTTGTAGTGAGAACTCAGGCGAGTCCATTACAGACTACAGCGGGGTTTCGCAGCTCAAGAAAGAACATTTATGATCATTTCTTCAATCAGACCGAGACACTAAGACAGAAGAACTACTGCGTCTGTAAAATGATTAATATGGTGATTATTACTTCAAGGAAATGATAAAGAAATGATCATAAATGTTCTTCCTTGAGCTGCGGCACCCCGCTGTAGTCCGGCTGCTGGAAGAGAGTAGGTGAGTTGTGTTTAGTCTCTTTGTTAAAGAAATGAGTCAAAGTTAAAAAGATGTTTGGTGTCTAGTACTATGTCTGTGACCCTATATGTCCTGTTGATGAAGTTAGGTGCTGTTCTGAGCATTATTTGTGGCTATAGAGTGGCGTTTTGGTTGGGGGCGTGGCTCTCTGTATTGCTATCCTGCGGTCGTTACTAAAGTTGGTATAACTAGAGAAGGAAGCGGTCGGCAACATTCATCTCTGGAGGGGGGGTCTAACTCGGGGTTACGGTGGGTTTGACCCTTGATTAATTTTACGCTGGAATATCCCTTTAAAGCTCCAGTATATGAGGTAACTATGATGAGTGTAGCAGTGACTTTTCTGTTTCATTATCACAGTTCGGTGCTATAACAGGACTCTGTAGATGTGAAATAACTTACTTTAACTCTCCTGATGTCACTTTTACGTCGTATTAGCGATCACGCTCAGACTAAAACCGTATCACAGTTCTATAAGTCCGTCTGCCTGACTGCTGATGCTGTCGGGGGGTTGCAGACATCCGTCAGCACTAACAGGAAGTGACAGTGTGCAGAGAGGTCCTAATGACTGTCTCACTTGACTAATTGTGGTCTCTGAAGAGTGTATTCATTCCCTATGAGGGTCCCGTGACTCTCATTGACAGCCCCGCTGAAGACATATAGGCCAGCGCTGACTTAGACATGCTGCTGTGTTCAAAGGCAGCCCTGAAGCAAAGCCACAAGTGGAAAATATGGAGCCCAGGCCTGCTGTGAGAGCTGCAGCGGTGTGTCTGTGGAGAAGTAGGAGCAGGTTTGCATAAGTAAGAGCTAAAGGAGGAAGTGTGTACGTTCATGTGACACTCGACTTCAACTCGCCTAAATGTGAAGACCTCCTTAGCTCCAGTCATCGCCACACAATCAGCTGATGAAGTGAGAGCTTTGTGGGCTCTCTGCAGCCATCCGTGTTCAAATCAACTTGTAGCATTCAGAGTAACGCTGTAGAGACGAGGGCGAGCCCGGCTGAATGAATGTCTTCTCTTTCAGGGTCTTACCATTCAAAGTGCATCAGCTTCTCGTTTCCATGGTTTCCTCGCCTCTGCCAATGCTATCTCTCCAGCAGTCTGCCTGCGAGAGGGAGTGAGGGGGAGAGAGAGAGAGAGAGAGAGAGAGAGAATGACAGAAGGCTTTTAGCAGTGGTTATCTCTCCTCTGCATAAAGTCCCCTTTGCATTACCCAGAGCCTGAACGGGCGTCTGAATCAACACACCAACCAGCTCATGTAAAGCCTCCCTGGGTTACAAGTGAGTGGGTGTGTGTATAAACTAATCTAATTTGTGGTCTGCTTCAGAAACGACACGGTTTGATCATGAGTGGGAAAAAAAAGAAGAGAGTTTCTCTAACGCTAATTTTGTTTTAGTCACAATGAGTCCTTTTACAGCGTAATGACACGATTCAACATCCCCATCGCACCGTCTATTCTAATTACACACACACACACACACACACACTAAACTCAGCCTGACTTGCTTAAGGGAAAGTTTGTTAAAGTGTGACTCCTAATTGGCAATCAGGATAACTGCAAAACAGGAATGAACCGGTGACAGTGGAGGAGAGGGAAACAGATCCTCTCCGTTCAGACACACAAACCCGTTAGACTGTTGTTGGAAATCAAGTCAGGCCTTAATTCTATTCTGCAAATTAAATTGTGCAGAGAGTAAAGGGGCACCTGAGGACTTCTTCTTCTCCACCTGCAGTACTGGAGTGAGGGGCACAGAGGGCGCTGTGACGTCGAGAGGAGCCTCCTCTTCCTTTCATGCTGTGTGTGTGGAGCTCTGCTGACTCCTGCGAAGGCCTGAATTTCTCCATAATTATGCTAATGGTCCAGATGGTAGCATGATGAGTGCCGTTCTCTTTGATATTCTCACTCTGCTGCTGCCGCCGAGCTCTCCTGGTGGTGGAGCAGACCCACGCAAACTGACACACACGCTCAGAGTCAGCGTTCGCACCACGTTACTCTTGATCCCGTGTAATTGCTTCATGTTTCCCTTTAGCTGATACAGCCGCCCTCTTAACTATTAAATACATTTGCTTTTATTTGTGAAGGGGGATTTGACAGAGCCGCTCCTGTATAATGGAGGAGCACTCCAGCTGAAGAGCAGGTAAGTGTCATGATCTCTTGTTTATCCACACATGTCCTCATCATCTCACTCTCCTCTTTCTAACGAAGCTTCTTCATATTTCACTCGTTCCTCTCCAGGTTTGTCCCTCTGAGCTGAAGCAGGTTGGAAGTTTCTCCAACAAACAGGTAAAAATTCAACATGAAACTCAGAGTTTAAAGGTCGACAGGAACATGATCTCAGAGACACTCCAGTAGGACTGGGCGATATGGACCGAAAGTCATATCCTGATATATTTTGGCTGAATCTCGATCTACGATAAATATCCTGATATTGTTATTGTAAATGTTTAGTCCCAGTCAAATCCAAATATGACATGTCACAGATATTTCTATATAAACTGATGAAATTCTGCTCAGCTTTTCAAAGAAGAATAAAATGTAAATATAAAAACTCTTTAACCACAGGAGGACCTTTGTTTTCCATGAGGTGAACATTTAAATAAAAAATATATCTTTAATAAAATAGCCCATAAAGTAAAATAAGGAAATCTTTTTCTGAAATAAATGTATTTATATGAGAAAAGCATCAACATTTAAACAACTATAAATGGTCTATTAAAATCAAATTTCAGATTTTCTTCTCCTCTCTAATAAATCCACAGATAAACAACGAACAAAAGAATGAAATCTGACAAACCCGAGTAAAGGCAGCATTTACATCTATAAAGACAGAACAAAATAAAGTTTAAGAAAATAGTTTTTAAACATCATTTTGAGATTATTTATCTGTCTTTCTGATCTTCTTAGGTCGACATTCGAGGACAGACGAGTGTGTCCTTCTTTGTTTCAAGATTTTGTGTGAGAAACTCCAGCCTGTCAACAACAGCATCTGATATCTGTAGATCCATATATGTGATATGATCCAATTTCATATCTCATTTAAAAATATATCTGTATATTTCTTAAATAATTATATCGCCCAGTCCTCCACTCCAGGCGTTCAGAGTTGTTATTATGAGGCTTTTATTTTGTAGGAGTTGTACACACGGGCCAGCCATTCACACTCGACTCACACAATGACTGTGTTCATTCAGGCTTTTGGACTCTGGTGGCGCCGATCAAAGAGCTCCTTTCACGTCCCTGTTGGGATTAAATGGACCCTCCGCCCTCCTGAGGGTGTGGGGGGGTCTCCACTGTACCTGCAGCTCCAGCTGACGCACCGGCCCATGAAGAGCTGCCGCTCATTGGGGGCGGACGCTGATAAGGTGCATGAAGTGTAAAATCAATGGAGTGTAGGCCCACGCAACGACTGCAGATATCCATCTTCTCAGCTGCGGCGGCGGCGGCGGCGTGTTCGTACATTAGAGCCTCGTTTGAACTCGCTAATCTGAGAGGAACGTGAGGAGAGGAGGTCTGCTCACAACCTCCACAGAGAGGAAGTGTCTTCACTGTGAAATGGGAGCTCCTCCTGTCTGTGTGTGTGTGAAGGTGTGTGTGTTTAGTCTGTTGCTGGGAGGATTTCAGGTCTAATCTTGACGTCTTTGCATCAGTTACATATGTGTTCCTTTCTGCAGATAACACTGGATTTGCTGTTTCCATACTCCTCGTCCCACTCCTCCTCTCCTCCTCCTCTCCTCCTCTCCTCCTCCTACTGTTGTTGAAATGAAAGAGTGAACATGTGGAGAAAAGAAGTTGTGAATGGCAGAGCTGAAGAAGAGCCTACACGTCCTACTGAGAGAGGAAAAAACAGAGCCATGATCTCCTGCAGGCCTGAGATTATATCAGTGGCGTGCAGAGATTGGCCGGTTCCTCTCTTGCCTCGCAGTGTGTGCAGTTATTTCTGTATTTTGCCAAATCCAGAAGGATGTTTGTGGAGTCAAACCCGAGCCTGCAGATTGTCTCAGTAACAGCAGTTTTCTTAGATTCTTGGAAAGATCTCTGACGGCTGATTCTTCTCGTGGTCGTCTTAAACAGGTTTGTCTGTGTCTCTGTCCGTGGTGCTGAAATCAGACTGAACAAAAACCAGGCTTTGAGCAGAGACGGCAGCAGTCCTCTCTCTTTATTATTATTATTATTTTAATAGTCTGTTTATTGGGATTTTACATAATACAAAAACATCAGTGTTCATATTACAGATTATATAAGTTCAACATCGGACAGACAAGAGTCCTTCGTCTTCTCAAATGAGACATCGTTACCGATCAGAGTCAGTGTCTAATTTAAGAAAATAAAGCTCCTCCTTAACCCCGTTTGTGGGTGGAACTGGAACAGTATGAACCTCCTGGTGAACGTAGTTGTGAATGATATTAAATCCCTTTGAACTGGGGAAAGACTAAGAGATGAAGACTAAGACTGGGAGAGAAATGTCTTTAGTGACTTTGGACAAAATATTAAATATTTCAGACTGAAATCTTGTCAGAGAAGAGCAGATCTAAAACATGTGAGAGTGATTGGATTGTTGGCATCGATCACATATTGGATCTCGATGGAGGATTCCACATGTATGAAGCTGTGACCAGCACAGACTGAAGATTTATGTCCCCCCCTCCAAAATCTCTTCCCAAACCTGATCAGGAATCCCCTCTCCCAGCTCTCTACCTCTTTATTATGAGCAGATTTATCACCACCTCAGTTTATTTGTCTGTTTCTGTTGATCCTGACTTTGGTGCAGCTGAAGGTTTACCCTGAAGAAGAGACGGAGGAAGATTTGATTCTGACGTCTTTAAAACCAGGAAAGACTTACGGAGCGGAGAAACAACAGCTCTGAAAAAAATCAAGTTTCCCACTCCTCCTTTCTATCGTCCTTCATTACCTTTTCCCCTGTTCATCCCTCTGTAGGGTAGAGTGGGGGAAGTTGAGCCCCCTCCCCCGTTTCTTGTAAATGATCAAAGAAATTGATCATGTGACCAAATATTTAGGAGATGGTCATCAATTCATGGAGTCTGTGAAGGTTAGAATCACATGGGTGAAGAGGTTAGACATTTATTTAATAAAAACAAACATTTTTCTTCACTCTGAAAAGTCAATTTAGTCTTTAGTCGTCAGTTTGATTTAAAAAAAAAGATTTTAAATTAGTTTTATACATCAATTATGGTATCTATGAGCTACATAAAAGTCCACCATTTTATTTTTGAGGACTAATAAAGTCCTCATCGTAGTTCAGGGGGAACAGAGAAAGTAAAGGAGTCTGAGGAGAGGATCAGAGTTTACCTTCAGACTGTTGAAACTTTCTTTTCATAAATACAGATCTGTGAATGTTCTCAGTCAATTAAAGACATTCTCGTGTTCTAATGGTTGTTTTTTAGCAGTTATATGTAATAATAATAAAAAGAATTATTGTACCAGTTGAATTGTACGGTGGCCGAGAACTGCCACTGCTGCACGTAAAAATAGAAGTCATAACGGAAGTTAAAAAAAAGTGGCCATGTGAAGAAAAAAATAATAATTACTGCAAAAAGAAGTTTGTGTAAAGGTTTTTGTTTAATTTCATTTTCTAAACTTTTTAATGAGTCATGTGGTTAGACAGTGTAGCTCCTGAGTCCAGATGAAGTTAAACTGAAGCGAACACGACACCGACATCCTCCAAGTGACTTCTTTGCTCGTCTTCTCGCCGTCGTCTTCTGTGTCTAGATTATAAAACACCTGTGCATCATCATTATTGGTCCCCGACAGCTCACTGCTGTTGTGGATTTTTCTATTTGCATTCATTTTTATTTGCAGCAGTGGCAGTACTTGGCCACCATAGAATAGAGATTAATAGATAAAAATACACATGAATGTGAAGAAGTGGTCAACTTACCCCCCCATACCTGGGGTAAGTTGACCATAGGAGACCCCTTTTTTTGTCCTGCTATATTCTGAAGATGACAGTTCTGTTTACACTCATCCTGTTGGTTTTCAGGGATGAACAAGATCCTGAAATATCTGCAGAGACACGAGTTAGAGACAAAACCAGGACTGACTTGATGGACTGATCCAAATATGAAACATGGATCATCCTAACCCACTCTCCCCTACTGTTGCTCTCTCTCTCTCTCTCTCTCTCTCTCTCTCTCTCTCTCTCTCTCTCTCTCTCTCTCTCTCTCTCTCTCTCTCTCTGCGCGTTCACAGCACTAACCTTGGCTCGACGTCAGAGTCGGTGCAGCAGTGCAGTATAATGGGAGCGCAGGAAACCCAGAGCGCCTCATAGGGGGCTGTATCCTCGCTGCTGCTGCTGTCTCCTCTCCTCTGCTCGTCTCTCTCTCTCTCTCTCTCTCTCTCTTCTCTGTATCTCTCTGTCTCTCGCCCTCTCTCCTCCTCACCTCCAGCCCATGCTCGGGCTCTCTCCCCTCCTGCTCCTCCTCCTCCTCGTCTCTGGATCCGTACCCTTCGACATGGACGTCCCGCCGTCCCTCGACCCGGAGGATTGTTGTCGTTTCTTGGCGCAGTGAAGGAGGAGAAGGGGAAGAAGACGGGATCATGCCGGGACTGCTAATGGATTTAGGGAAAGCGCAAGTGACCATGCCGTGATCTTGCGCATCCAGGGCCGCCGTCACCCTGCCTTGCCCAGCGTCCGTAGAAGAATCACGGGGGAATCGAACCCGCGCTCCGGGTGGATTAAAACCACTGTGCATTTTTTCCACAACAACATGAAGATTACCTCCCATCATCTGATGATAAGCAGTCTCGTTTTCAGGTCCAACCTCAGGCTGATCCCGCTGATTCTGCTGCTCTTTCTTGGTTACTCTCGCGGGATGCCGCACGTTTTAAGATTTGGTAAGAAGGAGAAGAACCTCCTCTCTCTGTATCTCTGTCTGTTTGTCTGTTTGTTTGTGATTTCATGCACACAGATGTCAGACCTCCTGGTCTGTCTGTCTTAGATGTCTCTGTGAACATGTCTCCTGATGATGCAGGAGCACAGAGACATCCTGTACCACATTAGTTTGATGTTTGACTAAAACCATGGCAGCATTTGTTGATCTTCCTGTTGTACTCGGACTCTCTCTGAGGTTACATAAACCTCCGGGCTGGTTCCTCTGACTCGGTCTGAGGTGAACCGGGTCTGACTTCAACCCTGGAGCAGGTAACTTCAGAGAAAATCAGGAGGAGCAGAAAAAAGACAAAAACTCCAAAAAACGAGCAACAGTTCAGAGGAAAACATGCAGCTGATCAAAGTCTACCTCTCTCTCTCTCTCTCTCTCTCTCTCTCTCTCTCTTACTCTCTCGTATCTCTCTCTCTTGCTCCTGTATCTCTCTCTGTCTCTCTCTCTCTTTCTCTCTCTCTCTCTCTCTCTCTCTCTCTTTCTCTTGTATCTCTTTCTCTCTCGCTCCTGTATATCTCTCTCTTGTATCTCTCTTTCTCTTGCCCCCCCTTCTCTATCTCTTTCTCTCTCTCTCTCTGTCCCTTTCTCTCTGTATCTCTCTATCCTCTCTTTCTCTATCTCTCTCTCATCTCTCTCTCACTCTCTCTCCCTCTCATATCTCTCTCTCTTTCTCTCCCTCTTGTATCTCTCCTTCTCGTATCCCCCCTTTCTCTCTCACTCTCGTATCTCTTTCTTTCTCCCCCTCTCTCTTCCTCACCCCCGTTCTCTCTCTCCCCCTCTCTCTTGTATCTTTCTCTCCCCCCTTCTCTCTCCCTCTCTCTCTCTCTCTCCCTCTCTATATCCCCTCTGCCCCCCCCCCCCCCCCCCTCTCTTTCTCTCTCCCTCTCTCTCTCCCCCTCTCTTTCTCTCTCATATCTCTTTCTCTCTTTCTCCCCCCCTCTTGTATCTCCCCCCCTTCTGTCTCACTCTCTCTCTCCCTCTCATATCTCTCTCTCTTTCTCTCCCTCTTGTATCTCTCCTTCTCGTATCCCCCCTTTCTCTCTCACTCTCGTATCTCTTTCTCTCTTTCTTTCTCCCCCCTCTTGCTTCCTCACCCCCTTCTCTCTCGTATCCCCCCCATCCCCCCTTTCTCTCTCGCCCTCTCTCTCTCTCCCCCCCCCCCCCCCCCCCGTTCTCTCTCTCTCTCCCTCTCTCTGTCTCTCGCCCCTTCTTAAACCTGCTGACACTCGGACAAATCCTCCGCAGTAAATGTTTACATGTAAACATCACCCCCTGAGTGTGGATCAATCACTCCGATCCGTCACCCTGCCCCGATCAATACGCCGGGCGTTACTTTTTCCTCATGACTCCCTCTGAAGTGCGGCGTCCTCCTGACTCGGGTCTGTGCGTCGGCGTTGATGATGTGGAGGTTATTTCCTGAGTCACAGATGTGGACGGGAGCGTCTGTCTCCTAAAGTGAAGCTGGTGACTCTGAATCATTGATCAGGCTCTCGTGTTGAAGAGCGGCTCGTATTGCCTGACAGAGCGCTGATATAATTGGAGATGATTATTAAAGTACTTCCTCAACACTCGCTGATTATAAACTTGAATATTGAGCCGTTCTCGCCCGCCGTGCTCCCGCTCTAAAATCACTCCATCACGGCGTCCTCCTGTGGTTTCTCCTCCGCCTAATTAGATCTGTCTCAGGATGCCTGTTTTTGCCTCTCTCTGCGTCTCTACAGAGGACATCTTGGAGTGACAGCCCGCCCCCCGCCCCCCAACCCAACAGCAGATGTCATCAAGTGTTGACAACACATCCTTACAATCTCACCGTTTCCCCCAGGGTCCTGTTTGAGAGTCAGGCCGCGTCCGCAGGAGCCGCCGCCATGGCAACGGGGATGTGCTTGTCTTCCTAGCATCCTCGGCTCCGATGTGTGATTTCCCGTCTCACACGTTGTCTGACAGACACGGGGCGTCTATTCGCTAATCCGCCGGGGATGAAAAAGTCCCTGCGTGACGGTATTTGACAGGAAAGTTTCCAAGCTGTTAAATGACGAGTTTATTCAGCGGGAGGAGGAGGGTCGACTCCGACCGTGGGGGGGGGGGGCAGCACTTTGTACACAGATCAGACTGGAGATCCTGGTTACCATGGCTGAGATCTGACAGGCCGGGTCTGTGAGGCGACAGGTATTAGAGGTGTAAACCATCCGCCTCACGCCGCTGTGATGGCTGCGTTAAGGTGACGCTCCTGCTCGCCTTCGCTCGGGTTGGCAGAGATGAAAGCTGAGTCTCTGTCTGTGGTCCTGAAAAAGCCTCTGTTCAGAACCGCGGCCCACAACCCGGCTCTCGAGCGGCCCTGGTCCTGAACAAGAAGCTCATTGTCTGTGTTTGTTGGAGTCTCTGCGATCCTCAGTCCTCTGGTTTTATTTCTGTCCCACTTCAAACGTCTCTGTCGTCAATGTCTCCATAATTCATCCTCTATAGAGAAACACGATCCGCTGATGTTCGGTCTTTCTGCTCGTAAAGGAGGGAAGTTCTAAGAGAGAGAGAGACGCCGATAGGGAAGTGAGTGGGTGATTTTATCAACACAAGAAAATGTATGTCAGAGAGTGTGAGCGCCGGAGCCGGGAGACGGCAGGAGAAAAGTCTTCAGAGACAAAGGAGTGGGTTTTTTTTCTCCTCCTGTCCTGCAGGATGTGCTTACTCAGCAGATCCTCCCCAGCTGCTCCTGCAGGAGGTTCACTAAACGAGGAGGTCGTCTCCCATGAGCCCGTCTGTTCCCTTTTCCTGCCCCAAGTTCCCCGTTCGGCCCAGACAGGTAGTTCAGGTTGTACGAGCGCTGTTCTGCTGTCACCCCGAGACCTTTACACACACACACACACACGCACACACACACACACGCACACACACACACACACACACACACACACACACAGTCAGCTCTCTGTGTTCAGAAGTGTTCGGACAAATCAAACACGCCGAGCTCATTTCCACGCCGAGTTCTGGCGTTCGGCGTCCCTCCGTTATAAATCCTACAGGTCGGTCATCGACTCGGATCCTGAACTAAACTCAGAGCGGCTCTGATCAGCGCGAATAAAACACTCCAGACAGAAGGTTCACACTCGCCTTCAGGGGCCCTGAATCAGACCTGAACTGTCAGACACCCGGAGAAAAAACAGGGTTTTTAGTTTTCACTCAGAAACTGAACCTGGATCAGAATCTAAAGGTGAGTTAAAGTCATTCAGAGATATTAAAGTTATGACTGTAGGTCTGTGAAGATCAGAATTATATTCATATTTAGCCCAGATGAGGCTCTAAACTCCGAGTCTGTCTGTGTCAGCTGCAGTTAAAGGGATTTCTCCTCTGTCACAGTCGGAACGGCGTCTTCTTCTGCTCCTTCAAACAAACACGAGTCGACACGGCCGCCTCGCCATCACATCACTAATCAAGTTTAGCTCCAGGACGGATTTACAGAAAGTCAAACAGAAGAGGACCAACAATCAAAGCGAGGCCGCGTCTGAATCCTGATGACCGGAGTTGGTCTGCGGCGTTGAGCTTGAGTGATAACATTATCGCCGCCATCTTCGCTGGCAGACGCCGGCTGTATGTCCCTGGGCTGTCAGCGGCTGCTGAACGCATTGTTGACTCAGAGAAGCTCATTTCTGCTTGTTTATTTCCTGCTCATGTTTAGATGTTTCCCCCGCACAGACATGTCTGGGAATATTTATGACTAAAACACAACATTGTGTTTTTTTTTAATTCATTTTGGAAACGGAGAGAAAGCCTTGTTTTGGTTTTTTTCTTTGGTCCTCTGGCAGAAAGCTCAATCCCCTCTGGTAAGCCGTGTTTATCTAACTGCCTCCACAATGCTGCGCCAGGATAAAGGTCTTTTATTGCATTTCTAATATTCTCTGTTTTTTCATCCTCCCCCCTCAGCTGTGTTTCTGCCGGCCAAATGACAAGGTTGTGGAGAAGGGGAGCGGGAACACGTTCAAGGGGAGTTTGCGGTTAATTGACTTTATTTACTTGTTGTAATTATCATCACGCCGGAGTTTAGTTAAGTTTGGGATTGCAGGAATTAGAGCTAACACCCTGCGCTCTGGCCCCGTGCCGACACGTTCGCAGCGAACACGTCGAAAAAGGCGCAAAGCTGCTTAAAATATTCCTGTGTCACTTGGCCCTGCTTATAGAAATCTGAAACTATCTCCTCTCTGCTGGCAAATGATTTCCATGGTTTAAAAATACCCACCGTGGGTTTCAAGAACAAAAAGGAGATCTGTCTTACATTAGCATGCAGCTCCACACACACGCGGGCGAGCGGGCGGGCGGGCGAGCGAGCGAGCGAGCTGGGAGCGGGGAACTATCCGGATGAATTTCTTTAAACATGTTTACAGTCCGGGGTCTTTGAAGGTCTGGCTGCTGTCATGCCTCGCTTACTAAAGGCTGAATGGTGATTAATTTAGGGAACAGATTTCCTGCGAATGGGAAATATCCGTGAGGTATGAAATTAGTTTTCTTCTGCTTAGCATTTAGTCAATTTTTAGATTTTCCAGCTGCTTTTGAAGAGATTATTTACAGGAAGCGGGCGCTCCGTCATCGACCTTGTTTTCAGGATACGAACCCCCGTCTGCTGACACTTCTGGGTCCTCCTGTAGTCCTTTACAGCCTCTGTGACGGTTCGACTCCTCGGTGGGCTTTCATAAGTCTCAGCCTATCACTCTCTGTCATTGTCAGGCGAGGTGTTCCCGCCGTAACTGAGGGGGTTAGAGGGTTATGTGTGCAATTGTTGTGTGAAACTGTCCCCTGAGAAGAGCGGCTCTGCAGCTCGTCTCTCTGCCTCTCAGCTGACTGAAGGTCAGAGCCGAAGACGCTCAGAAGACATCTTTTATGGTTTGCATCTTTTATCACATGTGCAGCTGTCCTCCTCACGGTCCCACCCGGGGAGACGGAAGACAATTTGAAGTCACTTAGAGGTGTAAGAAAAGCAAAAAGAGTGATTTTTAGAGAGGGAGGGAAAACTGTGAGTGTAGAGGCACAGAGAGAGAGAGAGAGAGAGTAAAGATGGATTAGTTTGCCTGTAAGCAGTCCACTCTCAGCCCACTCTCACTTGTGATCTTTTATTGCTGTTTTCTGATGGCTTCAGACAGAAAGGGACTGTAGAGTGTGCTGTGAAAATATAGTGGGAGGCCTGGAGACATGCTCTGCAGCTCTGAGTCAACGCCAGCGTAGTGGAGTTTAGTGAGACGAGAATTAACCACGGAGACGCTCAGAAGGAGTTTAACAGCAAAGACAAAGAGAAAAAAAACGTCAAAATCAAAAGGATCCATTTCAGTTCTGTGGGGAACTCCTCCGAACAGAGACGATTTCTGCTCCTCCATTGTGTCTCATTACATATTTGGCTGTCTGTACTCCCAGTAGACTGGTGGGAACCAATAATCAATATGTTTGTACTGCAAGAGGAATAATGAAAAAGAAACTGGCAGAAAAACACGAAGACGCTGCCAAGTCCCAGCGTGGGTCTCTATCACACGATACCATCTGTCAGGACGACGCAAACACACGAGGAGAAGAAATCACACATCTCAGTGGAATAAATACAAACGTGTGAATTTATGATGGTATTAAACTCTCGATTCTGATTGGTCCTGACCTCATAATGATGACATATGAACTCAGTCCACTCCCCCTCTGTGCGATAACAGTGTCAGCCTCCTCTCAGTAAACATCGTGTGACACCGTTAGCTTCCTGTTGTACTCTAAGTCAACACACGTGTTTTCAGTCAGTCCGTTTACACGCACAATCTGACTTCTCTCCTTGTCCGCACAGTGCAACTAAAAATAGATGTGTGCGAATTGTAAAATGTATTTAGTGTGCGTAAGAAAATCAGCCGAGGCAACGAATGTTATTTCCTGTAAATACGGCGGTGAAGTTAGTTTGAGGTTGGATATATTTTCCTGTAAATACGGCGGTGAAGTTAGTTTTAGGTTGGATATATTTTCCTGTAAATACGGCGGTGAAGTTAGTTTGAGGTTGGATATATTTTCCTGTAAATACGGCGGTGAAGTTAGTTTTAGGTTGGATATATTTTCCTGTAAATACGGCGGTGAAGTTAGTTTCAGGTTGGATATATTTTCCTGTAAATACAGCGGTGAAGTTAGTTTAAGGTTGGATATATTTTCCTGTAAATACGGCGGTGAAGTTAGTTTTAGGTTGGATATATTTTCCTGTAAATACAGCGGTGAAGTTAGTTTTAGGTTGGATATATTTTCCTGTAAATACAGCGGTGAAGTTAGTTTCAGGTTGGATATATTTTCCTGTAAATACGGCGGTGAAGTTAGTTTCAGGTTGGATATATTTTCCTGTAAATACGGCGGTGAAGTTAGTTTTAGGTTGGATATATTTTCCTGTAAATACGGCGGTGAAGTTAGTTTCAGGTTGGATATATTTTCCTGTAAATACTGCGGTGAAGTTAGTTTTAGGTTGGATATATTTTCCTGTAAATACGGCGGTGAAGTTAGTTTTAGGTTGGATATCTGATGGACATTCTCTGAGGATCTACCGTTGTGTCTTCTCACTCTCCATAACCGGGAATAACAACAGCAGCGCGGTTAAATCTACTCTGCAGTGAAGTTAGTTTTAGGTTTTACGCCCATTTACTCTAAAATGTTCATCTCTGTCAGGACGGAAAGCATGACGGCGCTCTTCTTGTCGTTCCAAAAGTGGACGTTCTTTGTGTTTCAGCCATGTTGTTGTTGAAGTTGCTTTTGAGTCGAAAGTTCTGTAAATGATAGCGCCACTTCTTCTCTGGTGTTTTTGTTCCAGGGTTATAGAGGCGTGGTGCACACGCACATGCATCATCCGATCATACTCCGACTACGCTGGTTACATGGTAGAGAAAATCGTATTCCAATCGCATTATCTGACTGTTGTAGTCAGAGTTCTCAAACTCTAATTATAGTCGGACTAAAGGTCTTTACACAGCCGGGACGACGCAAATATCCGACACGAAATTATGAAAATATTCGGAGGTGAATTTTGACCCGCCTGACGATACACATCAAGCTTGATGCGATTTTGGGACTTTTCGGGGTAAAAAAGACGCGTCCCAGATGGAAACCAGAAGACTGATCCAACAGCAGACTGAGTGTTTCTCAGTTCTGATGTCTGTCTGTCATGATAGCATGGACTGAGTCGGGTCAGAACCAGATAAGAACATGAAACTATAATCCATAAACGTAAGGGAACAACAGAGACCTGATGGTGCTGTGACTGAGTTTACAGTGAAAATACAGATGGTCTGTTGTATCTGAACAGGTTAGCTTAGAGCTAAAGTTACTTAGCACAGATGAAAGTTCAAACAAAGACGTTTATCAAACTGTTAAAGCTCACAAACCATCGTCATCGGAGAAATCCGACACTATGACTCTCCACAACATCAAAAATCACTCTGTTCTCTGACACGTAAACAATCAGACGGTCGGCCATGTTGGATCTACCGCTGAATCTGACGTCGCAACAACACGCAATCTGATTGGTCAGAAGTCGACACACAGTATGAGAAACTTCGACGGTGATCCAAAAAAATAAACACCGCAATATCGCAGGACGGGAAAACGTCGCTGATGTGAACGCTTGTACTGACAGGATACGGGTTCAAAAAAAATATTGACGTCTGAAATAATCGCAGGATAAAAAACGCTCCCGGTGTGTAAGGAGCTGAAGTCGTTGAGATTCTGCCAACAGGACAAAAACGTCCACAGATCCTCCTGCTGAGCCGGTCCAGACTCCGCTCTGATGGAGACGCTCAGTTTGAAGAAGACGGTGAAGTTTCCTCATGACCCCTCAGAACCACCTGTTCCCTATACATGAGCAGGTCCATGATGTTCTGACTCACCTTCAGCGTGGTTCTAATGTAGACACACCGCTGACTCGTTCCCGCCCTCTCGCTGTGATATACATTCAGGCTGAGCCGTAAACATGCGGCAATATTGCGCCACAGTTTTCATCATCATCATCTGTGGGCGTAACCTTTGTCTCCACAGACGCGCCGCTGCAGTAATTAACCACGAAGTTAATTCCCTCAATGGGAAGCAGAGAAACATCAGGAGTTCAGGGTTTATTTAGGAAGCGGGTGATAGCGGGCTAATTAAGAGCCGAGTAAATGTTGACGGTGGATTAGCCGTATGTAGGTGGAGACATTGATTGCCGCTCTAGAAGCCCGGTACATGCCTCAGTCATTTCCACTCTCATGATAATCTGTGTGTTTCTAAACTGTAATAATGACTTCAGCTCGAACCTGAGAGTTTCTGCACACGGAGCAGGTAACAGATATTTTCATTCCCATTCTCGGCAAATGAAAGCACTGACGTCCAAACAACACGGGAATCCAGAAGTCAATCGATTTGCAGAAAGCCCTCCTGTGTTCAGGTTAGGCTGTGATGTGATTCACCTTCATCTCCAGCCAGCTGAATAAAGGAGTAAGAGGAGGAGGAGGAGGAGGAGGAGGAGGAGGGCGAGCCGCTGACTGAAAGGAAGAGAAAGCGAGAGTTCGGGCTCCCATTGACAGCACAGCCGGTCGGATGTTTGAGCGTTTCTCTGTGTGAACCAAGGACACGGGGGGAAATGGGCTCAGTGGGAGGACGTATTGAGGCAGGCTTACTTAAAAATCATGTTCTTTGAATCAGCGTGAAGCCGCATTGTCCACCAACCACCGGGGTTATGCAAAATGTCTCCTCCTGCTATGTTGAATTTCATTTTTAGTTCTTTTTTCTCGGTTTGGCTCCGAGGCGTTTGGAGTGTGTTTGTGTAGCCTTCTGTAAATCGTCCTTCCACTCCTCTTTGTCTTTGTTCTGAAGATATTTGTGAGGAGGAAGGAGAGGGAGCAGAGGAGAACCGCAGACAGGAGGAGGAGGAGGAGGAGCGTTTAGTGTTGGATTGAATCTAGAGAAGAGAACCAGAGTGTGTCTTCACCTCAGGACTCAGAGTTTGTAAATCCAGCTCAGAGGCTCCGATAACTCCCCTGTCCCTGTTAGTTTGGTCCACAGACTGTTTTTATACTCAGGACTAAAGTTCTCGGTAATTCTGCGTTTTTTCTCCACTTCCTGAAACCAACATTGTTCAGTAGTGTTGAACACATTCAGCGGACGAGTCGCTGTGATGACGCTCGGCTCAAACAGCGTATCCCCAGGGTGCGATATTTTTTTTCGTTGGGTGGTAGGGGAAGGTCCCGCCTCCTTCACCTCTGATAGGCTAGAAAAGCTGGGCTTCGATTGGTTATTCCTTATGGCTATGAAACGTCATCACACGCTCAAGCCGGCTGTCGGCTCTGAACATCGAACAGAACGTTACAGAACATTATCACAGTCCTGAATCTCCTAACCCTAATTCTGCGTTTGAGTTTCCTCTGCAGTCAGATGTCGGAGCTGAAAATGATGTCACACCTGAGTCACCTGTCATCACGTCGGAAAAAAGCAAAATCGGAGGTGGAAACAAGATGGCTTCATCAACGAAAGTGCTTGCCTCGTCTGAATATAAGGCAAGCGCTAAAATAACTTTTGTAGATGTAGCCATCTTGTTTCTGCCGGCGGGGTTTATGACCTATACTGCAGCCCGTCACCAGAGGGTGCTGTTCTCACCGAGGCTTCACACAGCGAGGAGGCAGACGGCGTCTATTCAATCTACAGTCCATGGTTTGTCTCAGCCCCTCCTCTCAGTTTGGTTCCCTGTCCTGCGTCTGTTTCAGGATCATGAGGCGTCTAAGAAAACTCTGATTGACTCGGCGGTCTGAGCGTCGGCAGTCTGAGCGTCGGCGGTCTCAGAGTCGTTTTTCAAACAGCGCAGAAGTCTGAGGATTTCCACAGCAGAGTCATTTGGACTGAAACAAACAGATGAGATCAGCTCGTTTCTTTTCCGCTCGTTTCACCTCCAGATCTTTTCTTATTTGTTGAGGAAATAATGAGCGTGCATATTTGAGCAACTTTATTATTCCCTCCTTTTTTCTATCGATAAGCCCCCGGCTGTTTTCCTCTCTGCTGCTCCTGCTGCCTGTGTGTGTGTGTGTGTGTGTGTGTGTGCAGAGCGAACACAGAGAAAAGGACACACCTTTGCAGCAGCAGCAGCAGCACAGTGGAGCCTCGTATTGACTCGTACCTGTAGCTCTGATTATCTGCTGTACAGCGTCGGCTGATGGGAGGCTGATGAACCCAAACCAGGAGCTGACATTTCCCTGCCCTGTGGCTGAGGGAGAGGCAGGGGGATGCAGGTGTCCGTTCAGGTCTAATGGGCCATCCATTCACTCGTTTAATTGAGTGTCTTTTATCTGCCTCCGGTGACCTCTTTTATTCTCTATCCCTCCCTCTTGGTTTCCTGCACTCGTCTGGTTTTTTCCAGAGCCCCTCCCTTCCTCCCTTCCTCCCTTCCTCCCTTCCTCCCTTCCTCTCTTCCTCTCTCGGCTCGTCTGACAGCTCGCCCATCTGCATACAGCTGACTCTGACTCTAGGCGTCACGGATCATGTCACCTGTTGTTTTAGGAGGGACTCTGACAGGCTGTGAGGAAACACCAGGATCAACACTTTGGACATGAAACCAAAAATTCACACACAAACCTTTTTTCTCTCTTTTTTCGCCCTCCTACGTTTTTCCCTTTTGTCCTTCGCTGTCCTTCGCTCTGTGGTGTCTTTGTCTCTCTTTGCCTCTCAGCTTGTCTCCCGGTCCTGCCCCTCCACTTTGTTCTCTCTCACTATCATCACGCCTCTCTCTCCCTCTCTCTCTCTCTCTGCTCTCACTGTCCTTGCACACAGAGATCGTCAGATTGCGGTCCAAATCTGTGAAGAGTGAAGAGCGTTTTCAGCCTCACTGTAGCTTTGGTACCAAGACTGACTTTATAAGACGTTCATGGTCACAACGTTTCGTTTTAACCGTTTTAAACCGTTTTAAAACACAAAACTGGTTTGTCTCATGGCTTCAAACTGGGTCCTGTGGTGTTTTCATCATCATGACCTGAAAACCAGTCAGTCAGAACCAGAACCTACGACCGCAGAACAAGATTCAGAACCTCTGTAAGGACTGGAGATGTGCAGATAAAGATGACTAAATGACCCGTCATTACCCTCGCAGCGTCAGAACTGGATTTAAGCTGCGTTCCAGTTACCCCAGAAGTCAGATATCGGCGCTGGGAGTGACGTTAAACCCGAAAGTCGGAAAACCAAGATGGACGCCTACTGTCAGCCGTTGTCAGCTGTCATTGGCCGTTATCGGCGGTTGTTTGTCGTTGGTCAGAACAACATAAACCACTTATTTAATTTCACAAAAACAAACAGAAGTGCTGATAAATAAAACATAACTGGACCTTTCATTGTTACTCTGTACTGTTGATGCACTGGGCCGCCATCTTGGACGTGAAGAAATGTGGGACCAGAATGGGTGTAAACTGTGAGGTGGACCCAGAGCTGAGGGTGCTGAAGTATAAAGTATGGTCCCAGTCTGAGCGATGTCTCTCATTGGTTTGTGAAGCAGAGTTTTGACTGGTTTAGAGGCGGAGTTAAGGCAGTTTTGACTGGGTTAGAGGCGGAGTTAAGGCAGTTTTGACTGGGTTAGAGGCGGAGTTAAGGCAGTTTTGACTTGGTTAGAGGCGGAGTTAAAGCAGGTTTGATTGGTTAGAGGCGGAGTTAAAGCAGTTTTGACTTGGTTAGAGGCGGAGTTAAGGTAGTTTTGACTTGGTTAGAGGCGGAGTTAAAGCAGGTTTGATTGGTTAGAGGCGGAGTTAAAGCAGTTTTGACTTGGTTAGAGGCGGAGTTAAGGCAGTTTTGACTTGGTTAGAGGCGGAGTTAAAGCAGGTTTGATTGGTTAGAGGCGGAGTTAAAGCAGTTTTGACTTGGTTAGAGGCGGAGTTAAGGTAGTTTTGACTTGGTTAGAGGTGGAGTTAAGGCAATTTTGAATTGATTAGAGGCGGAGTTAAAGCAGTTTTGACTTGGTTAGAGGCGGAGTTAAGGCAGTTTTGACTGGGTTAGAGGCGGAGTTAAAGCAGTTTTGACTGGGTTAGAGGCGGAGTTAAAGCAGTTTTGACTGGGTTAGAGGCGGAGTTAAAGCAGTTTTGACTGGGTTAGAGGCGGAGTTAAGGCAGTTTTGACTGGGTTAGAGGCGGAGTTAAAGCAGTTTTGATTGGTTAGAGGCGGAGTTAAAGCAGTTTTGACTGGGTTAGAGGCGTAGTTAAAGCAGTTTTGACTTGGTTAGAGGCGGAGTTAAGGCAGTTTTGATTGGTTAGAGGCGGAGTTAAAGCAGTTTTGACTGGGTTAGAGGCGGAGTTAAGGCAGTTTTGATTGGTTAGAGGCGGAGTTAAGGCAGCATCTGGTTTCTTCTGTAAAGTCAGTCGGACCCTGGATCGTGGAAAACTTCAAACTAAAGAGTGAAATAAAAAACTGAACAGTGTGATGAAGGAGAAATGATCTGTTCAGGATGAGCTTATTGATGGGTGTGTATTTGGCCTCTAGTGGACACTTGGAGAACTGCAGATTTTAGGACAGACAGGAGGCTGCTTTACTGAGTGTGTATTTTATTGTGTATTATCGAACTGTGCGTTTTTATGTTGTCGACTGTTTCAGGGTCTTTTCGGACCTCTGAACCGGTCCTTCCTGGTCCGTCTTGTTTTTAGCCGACTTTATGAATCTATGTTCTAAAATCCAGATCTGTGAGTCAGATCTAGGCGTGCAGATCTGTATCTTCCTCTCTCAGTTTCTGTTTTTGGAGAATTTCAGGATTTCTCTGAGACGTGATCACAGATCTGTTTTATCTTTATTGAGATATTTTTAAACATATTCAGTCAGTCTGTGTTTACAAGCTTCTTTTCTTCATTATCTGTCTTTAATGATAATTACCATCTGTGCGAGTATCTGTAAATTTATTATAATAATTAGATGATTTGAAGCCCGTAAGGTGTGTCTCTCTCTCTCTCTCTCTCTGCTCTTCAAAAACCAGCTGCGACTGTTTAAGATCCACCTCCTGAATTAATTCTTGACCTTTGGTTCTGACTGGGAGATAACATCTGCCCCGCTACAAGAACGACCGTCTCGTTTTACAGCCATTTTGTTGGAAATGACAAAGGGACGAGTGTAATACAGGGCCATTTTGATGAGCGGGAGAGCGGCGAGAATTAGAAGGAGAGCGGCGGGCGAAAGATGATAGAGTCTCTAATTTGCTCTGACCTAATTGCAACATTATAAATCGAGCTCCTTTTTAGCTCCTCACCAAGGTCAGCTGCAGCGATCATATATATGTCAAACTCGTGTTGGAGATATTAGAGGCTCCGTTTCTGAAGCAGGTTTCAGAGCCTCTGAAAAGTGGGAGGATTTGGCAGGTTTGCAGAGACACAGTTGGAAATCTCAGCGCTTCACTTTCAGAGAGTTTGTGTCTGAAGGCTCCAAGATTTCATCTCCGTCTATTTGGCGAATCCTGGAGCGCTGTAGCCTCCAAATGTTGGAGACGGAGAGTCTACGCCGCTCCACGCGTCGCAGCTGCGAGGCCGTAAATTGGTGATAAAAACGCTCCAACTCCTTTAACTCAACGGGAGGAGGAGATTATAAACCCCACACACACACGCGCTCACGCTTTGTCCCGATGTTCTCAAGGATGAACTCCTGCCTCTTTTAGCCCCTGGTAGATAATTAGCATCTCTCACACGTGCTTGAGCTTGATTAAAACTCGGTTTACGGCGAGCCGCGCTGTGAGGTCGCCATCTGTCACCTGCTGAGGCCACTGCGAGACGAACCCCAGTCATGGGGAGCGAGGATGGTGGTGTTTTTATGTGTGTGTGTGTGTGTGTGTGTGTGTGTGTGTGTGTGTGTGTGTGTGTGTGTGTGTGTGTGTGTGTGTGTGTGTGTGCTGGTGTTTGATGAAAGAGAAGAAGAAGAAGAAGAAGATGATGATGATGATGATGATGATGATGATGCACCAAAAGAGAAATATCAGAGAGGAGAGAGAGAGCCTCCTGGTCAATAAACACTCCTCACATTTATCATAAATATAGTGTATTTATAGACAGAGATCTAAATCAGGTATTTCCAGCTCTGGCAGAAATCTCTCCTGACTGCAGTTTTGGGATTTGTGTTGATGTTGAGTTGAACTTCTGACCTTACAGCTCAGGTTTCAGGAAAACTCGTGTTTCTTCCTGGATGTTTAGAGTGGGTGAGTGAGCGAATGAGCAAGCGAGTGAGTGAGCGCTCGGAGGCTCATAAAACCCACAGTCTGTAAACGCTGTTGTGTTTCTTCAAAATGTTCTTCAATCAGGTCGTGTTTTCACACTCAAACAGTCTAATAGTCGAAGTAAATCACTGCTGAAGGTGTGTGTGTGTGTGTGTGTGTGTGTGTGTGTGTGTGTGTGTGTGTGTGTGTGTGTTAGATCTTCATGCTTTAACCACAGAAGATAACACGTTAAAAACTCGCAGATCTTTGGAGTCCATCAGTGACGGAGAGGAGAAGGATCTCTGAAGAGAGACGATAGAAGGACGACTGAGAGTGACGAAGTATTAAAGCTCGACTAGATGATGACAGAGAAGCAGATTTACCCCCGATCTCCACCTTCATCCTGCTCGTCTACTAAAAGGTCGTATCCTCCGATCGTAGCTGATCGTAACCATTCAAGTTAACGTGTCAATTTACACCGACTTCTTTCCGTTCCTCTGCGGATCGCCGGACTCCTCAGCTGATCACAAGAGTTCTATTTTTTCTGGACGCCGGAGCATGGCGGATAAATTCAGCACAGATTAACCCGTGCTGGAAAGGAAGTCGGGCACAGACACAAAATAAAACATGGATCCACAGGTTGTTTTGAGTTCTCGTGATTACCGCCGTCTGTAATCCGCCACAAAATTCTCCTCACAAATGGATCCAGTAGGAACTGGACGACGGCGTAAATTGCCGCCATTCGGAGCCGTTCTGGATGTGGTGGATCTCAGGTAAAATGACTGTGAGGGTCCGGCTCATGAGGGGGCATCAGGATCTTCAAGTCCTCCATGTGGTGGTTCTGACGTCAAAGTGTTAAAGAAGGCCGAAGATTACAGAGGAGCAGGTCCACTTTGTCCACAGGGGGCGCCAAAAACCAAAATTAAAACTCCTCCGGAAGAAGTTTAGCCAGAACTCGTCATCATGAGGAAAGACCAACGAGAAGATTTCAGACTCAGATGAAGGTCCGACCTCAGCATGTGGTTCTCCAGGATCCTCCTCTGAGATCTGCTGTACGGTAACGTTACGTCGACTTATCGAGGTCCGTTCTGGACTGGAACAGAGAACCGGGTCTCCTGGCTCAGAGACCTCCTCACTGGAGAGTCTGTGAGTTCTTCAGGATGGTCTCTGAGTCTGAACTTTATCAAACTAAAACAGGAGGATCAATAAACTTCTAAAAACTGTCATTTTAAAATCTCACAGGAACTTTCTGGTCTTCATGTCAGAGCAGAAAATATTTTCATTTTTAGTCGAGATCCCGTCGAGCTGAAGTGGACCATGTGACCACGGCGGGTGGCGAGGAGGACTTTAGAAACATGTGACTGAAGTTTGTCTTCAGATCACTTTTAGAAAATGTCACTTTGGGATTTATGACATTTTTACACAACAAACAGTTATTGATCAGTAGAAAATGATTGACAGATGAATCAGCGATGGAAATAGAAATAATCAAGGAGAGATGTTTTTCTCCGTTTCCTGTTTGCGTGTCAGTCGGATGAGGAAGAGGAGCGTTTATTTTTAAACGTGATGAAGGTCGAGTGTCTCAGAGCGAACATGCAGAGGTTTCTAATTCTGCAGCAGAGGAGCTGGAGTACATCGTACCGTCATGGTAAACTATTTCTGACCTCGTGTCGCTTTAAGGAGATTTTTTTAATCTCAGCAGCAGGCGGTAATTTCTGTAAAGTGTGTTTGATGATACTGAAGCATTTGGCACCGACTGCGTCCCTATGTAGCTCTAAGGAGCTCGCCTAATCTCAAGAGCAGGCCCATATTTCTGTGAAATGTGTGTGTGCAGGCGAGTGTGTGCACTCAGCTGCATTTATACGTCTTCTTCCCTCAGAATTTTCCTTTCAGTCTTTGCACTTTGAGAGCGGTGGAGAGGTTTGAAACTACGAGACAGAAATCATGGGGGACTTGAGCGATTCAAGGCCTGTGGAAGTGTACTCACAGTTTGGCACAATTAGTCCCAAAAAGGGGTCCCTGCTTGACAAATTAGCACACAAAATGTCAGCCGGTAGTTTAGCACATTCACAATAAGCCCTCGCAAATTAGCACATATTTAGAGGAGGGAGCTGGCGCCTTATTATGAACCGAGAGAGAGAGAGCCAAAGAGGCAAATGAGCACATCTGCTGCCAGCTCTGAATTAATCCATGTTATATGGTCGCTGGTTCTTCTGTGTGGAGTGAGAGAGGAGCGAAGACCCTGGTGTGTGTGTGTGTGTGTGTGTGTGTGTGTGTGTGTGTGTGTGTGTGTGTGTGTGTTTGTGTGTGTGTGTGTGTGTGTGTGTGTGTGTGTGTGTGTGTGTGTGTGTGTGTGTGTGTGTGTGTTTGTTATCAGACAGGATTGACCTTTCGTTGACGCCGTGGTTCATCATCAGCTCTTCGGTCCACTCTGGTTTTCTTTGGTGGATCTCCTGTTCGTGTTTCATCTCTCCATCATCGGTCACCTTCTCTGGGCTCAGCTGTTTCTTACCTGACACTCCTGTTTAGGCTCAATCTTTGGGGTGCGTGATTGTGTGTATGTGTGCGTGTGTGTGTGTTCCCACGTGTTTGTTGCAGAGTGTGAGTCAGCCGGAGGCTTAGCGTCCGGCGGTGGCAGGTGACAGTCCGGCGTCAGGAGGCTTTGAGGTGACAGGAGAGATTCTGTAGCGGAGGAATAAAGACAGGATAACGCCGGCTGAAGGATGTTCACTGAAGCTGCTGCAGACGTTTGTTTTATTTTCAGGTTTTCTTGATTTAAAGTTTCTTTCAAATGTTTTATGGTCGAGTTTCACCTCCGAGATCTCTCCTCTGTACGTCGGTGGTTCCCGCTCTCTGATTGGTTTAAAGTTTGTTTCCTAAAGGAGTCGACCAGATTCAGACTCAGAGATCCTATCAAGTGTTCCCTCAGAAAATGTGACTCTATTAACCGTGTTTACTGCTCGCCTTATCTTCTCCTTACACGACCAATACTCTCCAGATGATATCGAGGAGGAGAGCTGGTCAAATACGCCCTGATGTATCACCTGTGTTGACAAAGCAGTTAAAGCCGTGAGTGTGTGTGTGTGTGTGTGTGTTTAGAAACGCCTCTGCGTCCCCTCACACAGATGATGATGTCGGTCTGTTAGTCAGATATCTCGGCGTCTCTTCTGCACAGTAGGGAGATTTCAGGGCTTTTCAGAGAGGGGGTTGACCCTCATGTGGCGCAGGAAGGTCAGTCCACCACAAGGGGAGCCTCAGATTAATGACCAGGGGCGGTGACTCTCTGTGGGCCTTCATGCATCATGTCCCATTCAGCGCCAAACATGTCAGGGAGCACCCCAGCGGGGAATAGCGCGGATATTTACGGAGCGTCTCCGTCACTTTGACCCTCTGAGAGCAGATCGGACCGGACCGGGTTCTGTTGGGGGGTGGTGGGTTCAGGTCCTTCAGCTCATAACTGACTGTCTCCAAGCACATACCTGGGCCACTTGCCCTAGCGACAGGGTTGCTCGCTGGTTGCCATGGCACCCATCCTACAGCCCGCCGCCATCCTGCAGCTGTGCTGCTGGTCATTAGTCACACAGACAGGCCGTATGCACTATCACAACACCCTCGCTCTTCCAATCAGCTGCTCCTGATCCAAAACTGCAGAAGGTCTCTCAGCTATAGCATAGCTGCATGAGTAACCATGGCAACATATCTGACTCCCATCTCCCAGAGTACAAGAGCATCCTTTTGTCGGAGAAGCTAATTGTGATTCCGTTCATCGTTAAGTGAGAGACACCTTTTTTTTTAATGTTGGGAGTGACGAATGTATCCTCTGATGACACAGAAACACACGATTACAGGTGATATCAGGTAAAATCAGGTAAAATCAGGTAAAATCAGGTTAACGTTGGTCCACTCAGGAGCTCCTTTAATCAGTTTTTCTCTTCTGAACATTAATTTAAAGTTTTTTCATTATTTTCTTCATCGTTTATGTTTTTGGAGGTTTGATGTTTTTATATCAGGACTAACTTCAGATCGAATTTATTCCTGTTTCGATATAAAAGAGTTAATTTATGATTGTTCGTCCTAAATGTGTTTAAATTACTGAGCAAACATTAGGAAGGAAATGTACAGTGAGGCAGCTTCCTCCCACACTGCTCTCCATTCCCACTCTCACACACTTACACACACACGCACACACACACACACACGTGCGGAGACACTCGGTGGATCAGTGGGCCTGTTTCCTCGTCGGGGTGATTATCCAGCTCATAACTCACTCTGAGCTTTCACTCGCACTATAACTCACACCAATCCCAGCGATGGCGACGCCATCATTCACGCTCACGCTGATTATCTGAGCGGTAACTCACACACCTGTAATCAGACGGACCACAACGCCGAGCGGCAAGAGCAGGAGGCGGAGGGACAGACAGGTCATGTGACCGCGCGTTAATAGACGTTAAGTAAATTAAAGTCAACTCAGTGTTGTTGTTGAGACAAAAACCTTCTTCGAGGACAGACGTCTGTGAGGTTCTGTTCTTACACCGGGTCAGAACAAATGATGTTTTAGTCGGTCTTATCATCTTCACTCATCAAATCAAACCCTGTGGTTTTATGTCACATCACATCCTTTCATATCTCATGGTATGGCGTTGGCGTGGCGTTGGCATTGGCGTGTTGCCGTATCATATCCTCTCTGTCCTGTATCATATTAAATCAGTTGTGTTAGACTCTTCTGTCACATGTGTCACGTCTCGTCCAGTTCTGTTAAACGGTTGGTTCTGTTTGGTCCAATCTCCATGACAACAACAGACACAGACAGACGCTCACATAATCTCAGATTAACCCTGAAATATTAGTTTGTGACTTCACTTCCTCTATTTAACAATGGAGAAAAAAAAACTAAGTGAACATCCAGCAAACTGAAGAAAACAGACAGGAGGAACAAACTGACAAACAGCCCAACCCAGTCTGATCAACACCGTCGGTATCCACACTGTACATCAGGTCATTTAGACTAGATTAGATTAGGTTAGGTTAGATTAGGTTAGATTAGATTAGATTAGATTAGGTTAGGTTAGGTTAGATTAGGTAAATTAAGGTTATGTTAAATAAAGTGAGATTAGATTAGATTAGATTTGGATTAGTTAAAATTGGATTGAATCAGATTAGGTTAGGCTTGGTTAGATCAGATTAGATTAGAATAGATGCGTGTATATTAGATTAAATTGGATTAGGTTAGATTACTGTTAGATTGGATTTAATAAGGTTAAAATTAGATTAGGTTGGATTGGATTGAATTAGGTTAGGTCAGATTAGATTAGATTGGGTTAGGTTAGACTAGATAAAGTTAGGTCAGGTTAAGTTAGATTTCATTCGGTAACATTAGATTGGATTAGATTATCTCAGATCATTTATATTAGATTGGATAAGATCAGGTTTGTTAGATTAGATCAAATTAGGTTAGTTTAGATTGGTTCAGATTAGTTTAGGTTAGATTGGATCAGATTAGGTTAGATTAGATTAGATTGGATCAGATTAGGTTAGATTAGATTAGATTGGATCAGATTAGGTTAGATTAGATTAGATTAGATTAGATTAGGTACTCCTTTATTAATGCTAGTGTTGTTGTTGTCCTGTTTTTATCTTTCATGTTGTTTCAGTATTTTCTGACTAACTCTCTCCATGAACCAGAGCAGATCTTCTTTTCGTGTATTTCCAGTATAAAACAGGATGATTATTAAATTCACGCCATCTCTCTCTGTGTTTTTAATCTCCGTTAAATCTCAGGAACCCTCTCTAAACGTCTCTGTGTTCTTGAAGGTGTGTGATTCTCCTCTTCACCAGTGTTCACGGTGTGCCAAAGAAAATGTGATGAGCGCATCTTAATCCCCTTCTGCTCATTTTAGTCCTGATGAAGAGGCCGATGGAGCTCGGTCTGCTCCCTCAGGGCAGAAGTGTAATAATTATCTATTAGGTCAGGCTGACATGATTCCAATCATCTTTAATGGTGAATCTCGGCTACCCGTTTCTTTTGGAGATTAATGTGCCATTTCGCTGAAATGAAATGCCATGAATAGCTGCATGCTCGCAGATCGACACATAAAAACCTAATTATTATAACCCAGTGAGTGACAGCGGAGCACTAACATGTACTGAAAGACCTGTACTAGTTTACTCTGCGCTCTCATTTCTCTCTAGACTCTGAAGTCTGAGAGAAAAGTCCGGATCATGGAGTGACAGTGATGAAGTTCACCTCCTCAGGTTCATGACGTCTCCTCTGTCCCCCACTCCTCTGCTATTTTTAGCCTCCATGTCTATTATTGTACATCTCTCCCTCTTCCTCCTTTACAAAGTCATCACTCTCTCTGTCTTTCTCCCTCAAAAGGACTTTTTTCTCTCGCTCTCAGTAATTGAATCGATAAACAGACTTTAAACTTTTTCTTCTTCAGGATTTCGTCAAACCGGTTCTCTGTCCTTAGAGAGGACGGGAGCCGTGGACGGACTGCTGAACTTTGCTCTCTCTCTCTCTCTCTCTCTCTCTCTCTCCTTTCATCTCCCTCTCCTCCCCTCATTCATTCTCTTTTAACTTTCTCAGCCTTTAGTCCGTCCTCAAAGGCTCTCCTCCTTTTTTCTGCATGTTTATTTCTGAAGTTGAAAGCCTTTCTTGACTCCTCGTCTGTGTGAAACCTGAAAATGTTCATTCTTGACTCCTAATAACGAGCGCTGTCTTTATTTTCACTAAAACCCTGAAAATATCTCGTCCATGAAGCCTCTGAACCCTTTAGTTCCTGTTCATTTGAAGATCCATCCAGCCGACTTTGTCCCCAAAACAGACATGCAGAGAAGAGTTTTCATAAAATCATCATTTTTTTCACTTTTTTTTTTAAACTTTTTTTTGACTCAGATCTCTTAAACAACTTCAGCCCTAACCATTAAAAAAGTAATGAATAAAAATTTCAACATATGTCAGTTTTTGTGCAACATGTTATATTTATTGATAAAGTCTGTTGGAGCAGAAAAACTCGACATTTTCACCTCCTTTTCTCGAACCTCGTCCTAGACCAAATCAAATATGATCAAATTCATTTATTCATATTAAATTAATTTTATATATAAATATATAAAATCATCAGATCTCTGTAAGATAAGAATCATTTATGAGTGTTTATCCTCCTCTAACTAAAATCTGACCCTGATTACTCTGATATAAAAATAACTGTATATTTGAGATGTGATATCTTCTCCCCTGATGATCTGAAGGACCTGTTCATCCTCATGCATGTCCATCCACCTGCTCTGAAGTGAGGACAAAGTAGAAATTGTCCAAATGTCCCCCTCTCTTTGTCCCACACTGCAGAACTTGGACGTCAGATTCTCGACTGTAAAAACTCCCAGCATGCCCGGTTCTAAACATGGACGCAGATTCTCACCCGTGCACACACGCAGGAGCACACAGACTTCTCCTTCCACACATATCCCACTCTGAGACATCCAGATCTAGTGTCAAAAAAAATGTTTTTAATGGAAGTCTATTGGCCGATTTGTGGACAAAGGAGGGTGGGCGGAGCTAAAATGTGGCGATGGAGAACTACAGGTGACACCGAGTTTTTTATTCATTTACTTTTTAATATGAAGAAAAATCAGAACTGTCACTAAATTTGACGCCCCAGTCTTTAAAAATGTGACTGTCAGAATAAAGATGAAAGATATCCTGAAACAGACCGAGAGTTAAAGACATTTCCCCTCAAACACACGAACAGAGACCCTGTAAATACGACAAACAGCTCAGCTCGGGGTCTGCAGGTATTTCTCTGTGACTGTCAGATGAATTCAGGTAATTTACATGTTAACGTAATCGTTAAATGAGAGCCGTTTCAGCGGCTCTGTTCAGGATTCTGCTCAGGACTGATGGGCCATCTGGAGCTTTAATCGTTGTTGTTCAGCTCCACATAATTGACAAGTCTGATGGGGGCTGTTATGAGTTGACAACACCTTACTTTGTGTGGGTAATTATATCGTCTCGCTCAGGCTCTGGCGGCGTGCTGAAGCGGCGTGTTTCATTTGTTTTTGAGTCTTTTTTTCTCCGTCCATTAATGAGCGGTTCCAAAGTGAGATTTTGGTTCGTCTGAAAGGTAAGAAGATTTCTGAGGAGAGACGCGGCGTGAGTCTCCCATCAGGACGCTCCGCTATTACGCTTCGACAAAAGAGATGTACAAAGCAGAATAATACGTGAGCTCCTTTTAAATTGCTGTAATTTTAAAAATGTGAACATTTTATCTCCATTTCCTACTTGACTTCTCCCTCTCAACCTCGGCCTGTCTGTCTTTTCTCTTCCACTTGTGTTTTATTACTGCTTCTCCCTCAAACTCTCGCTCCTTTCTTCTCGGTCTCTCCCTCTGCTCCTGTTTTCTCTCCTCTTCTTTGAAAATCACTAAAATCAATTGGACAAAATGGAGGTGTGGACCATCTTATCAAAGCGGAGCAGGGGGAGTTAAAGCAGGGCGCCCACCCCTGAACTCACCTCCCCACGTCACTAATTGCCTGTAATTATGAAGATGACTGCGGCAGAATGTAAACGGGAGGCGGAGCGGCGAGCTGGTCCTCACCGTAGATCTGATGTAGGTTCACAGCGTCATATCGAAGGAGTTCAGATCAAATGAGAGGTCTGCAGAGACCCTATTATTGATCATTCAGCCAAATGTCACTCCTGTTAAAACGTCGATCACAGTTACAGGAGGATGGAGGGTTTCATCAGCTCTTCTTCTTCTTGGTTTCTGACCATCAGGAGGAATATTCGAGTCCATAGAGAGCGGCCCCTCCGGAGCAGAGGAACTCGCCTTTAAATTTGCCTTGAATACAATCAACAGGAACCGCACCTTGCTCCCCAACACCACGCTGACCTATGACATCCAGAGAATAAACATCTTCGACAGCTTCGAGGCCTCCAGGAAAGGTGGGTCTGAACATACAGGAAGTTCGGTTTGGTACCAAAACACTGAAGTTTGTCATTCAGTTCAAGTCAAAACAGACTTATTAGAAAAAGGAGAAATGAATGTTTCCTTTAGTGATCGTCCAGAACCGCTCAGAATAAACACAATCACACTCTACAAACCGATCTCAGAGTCACGGACGGTTCTGTTGAACAAGCCGTTCAGATGATGAACAGATGATGAAAATCAAACATTAACTAACAAACAGAGAAAGTCAATATAGACTTTAAATCAGCTGTTTCTGAACATTAGCTGCTCGACACACGACCAAACTAAGAGATGTATGGATAAAAATAATAAAACATTTAAGAGGAAGGAGCCTCACTCAGGATGAGAACTGAGATGTTGTCTTCACGCTAGCCTGAAGTCTAACCCCCAGTTTCCACCTTCATCCTGATCGTCTACTAAAAGGTCATAGCCTCCGATCGTAGCTGATCTGCAGGTTCTTGTGAGTTCTCAGGATTCCTGCTGTCTGTAATCCACCACGAAATTCGTCTTACAAAAGGATTCAGTAGGAATTGGCATACGGTGAAAATCTTTGTTGTTACGGATCGTCACCGTTCCAGATGTGGTGGAAATCCCGGGTAACGTTGCCGGTGTAGTAGAAGTGGCAGGAAACATAGGAGCTATTTATCTGTCAGACACTAATATCTGTAGCAGCATGATGTAAGTTAATATCATTATTAGTTTTCTTACGAGCATTGCAATCCGCTAACACACGTTTGTTCCGTGATCATCCTCTCTACTTCTCTGAGTCTGGGGGCGGAGCTTGATTTGTGATGTAAGAAACCCCTCTGTGTCTGATCCTGCCGTTTGTGTCTGCCAGAGATTCAGATGCAGAAATACTCAGAAATGCAGTTTCAACAGTATTTTCTCTGTAGCATCAGATAAATGAACCTGATTCTCATCGGAGTCTCTAGGGAGACGTTTTGAGGACTAAATTTTCCCTGAAACTAAAAATCTCCTCTCCAGTGTGTTAAACTGATCCGTGTCTCTTTCGCTCGTTTCCCCGCCAGCATGTGACCAGCTCTCCCTCGGGGTGGCTGCCATCTTCGGCCCCTCACACAGCTCGTCGGCCAACGCGGTCCAGTCCATCTGCAATGCTTTGGGAGTGCCCCACATCCAGACCAAGTGGAAGCACCAAGTGTCCGACAACAGGGACTCGTACTATGTCAGCCTGTTCCCGGACTTCTCGTCCCTCAGCAGAGCCATCCTGGACCTGGTGCACTTCTTCAAGTGGAGGACGGTCACTGTTGTCTATGACGACAGCACAGGTACAGGTACAGTGGGTGTCTGTCTTTCTCTTCCATCAGTAGTTTGCATGCAGACTGTGATCGTGTCGAGAACCCGCAGCCTTTCACACCCTCAAAATGGCAGCAGGTGAACTCCAAAAAGGAGCGCCGTTGCTGCGCTGAGTTCAGCGAGTGCTTTGTAACCTGTCAAGTTAATTCAGAAATCAATAGCTTACTGTTCTGCCTCAGTCCTGCAGGTGCTGCCCATGTCAGTCTTCCAGGAGAGTGAGCAGCAGCAGAGAAACGCAGAGAACCACGTTACCCAGAATGACCCAGTGTCTCTTCACATTAATGCAGAACTGTAGTGGGGGGGGTCTGACAAGCGACATTAATAACACAGAGAGACACTCGATCTCTGAGGGTGGCTATCAAACGTGTCTGCGAGGCGTTCGGCCCGTCCTGTGACTTTGTGGAGAGGCGCTTAATATACGTTTGAAAAGACGAGGCGTTTTTGAGCCGCAGAGAAGTGATATTATTTTGATGAGGTAAAACATAATCGCTCCAGAGAGAGAGAGAGAGAGACAGAGAGAGAGAGAGACAGAGAGAGGACAATATTCAGATTCTCCCCGGCAATTTAGGAACCATTAGGAACGATGTGGTTGACAACTTAATGTAAGTAAATGAGACGGAGCGGAGAGACGAGGAGGTTTGGACAGGTTTGAGGACGGATTCAGAGACGTCTGAAAGAAACGCAGTTTAACCCTTTACTCTGTTTCTGAAGTTTTTAACCCTTTCCTTAAAGAAACTTGAGTTTTTAATAAATAATAATATTGATATGTTTTATTTATAATGCGCTTTTACAGGTGCTCAAAGACGCCTTACAAAGAAAAAGAAGAAAATAAAATAAAAAAACTTAAAAACAGGCAACTGGACTGTGTAGAGGTTGTAGAGTTGTGTAGAGTTGCCTGTTTTTAAGTCTTCAAGATAACCATGACCTGGATGAATGAGAATCTACATGGACAAAATAAAAAAACACAATTTAAAATACAGAAGATTTTGAGAAATAAAACCAACAATGTAAAAGGTTAAAAAAACACAATATGAGAAGACAATAAAAGAAGAGTTCACAGGTTAAAAGACAATTTTAAGACAAATTTTAACCCTTTTCTTATAAAAACTCTATTTTTTTTAACCCTTTCCTTTTCTTTGTTTGTTTTTTTCTCAAGTTTGATCCTTTTTTTTTACCGTCACATCTGTTGTATTTAATTTAATTTCATTTATTCAGATCTCCGTCAGCTTCAGCTAAGGCCATCACTATTCTTCCTGGAGTTTACAGTTAACTCTCCATCTCAGTGAAAAGATGAAAAACATCCAAGACGACGTCAATAACCACAACAACTGACAACAGCTGACAAGACAAAAACAAACAACAAACACACAAATATTACTGGACCTTATTTTCACAGTGAAGTTATAGTTCAGAAATAATCAGATGTTCAAATATTAACATACATTCAACATGATTGAATTAATTTACAGAAAAAAATACCCAACAGACTTTAGATAAATCAGACAGACACTGATCGATTCTACAGAGTAGCTTCATCTAAATACGGATCTGTTTGATAAATGTTCTTTAACTCTGAGCTACAGCGTTAACCTGAGTAAGCCCCGCCTCTCCTTCCTCGGACTCGTCTCCTTGACCTCTCCTGTTACATTAACGCTCTCTCGTTAAGGTGACCTTCTCTGCTCAGACCTCCTCAGTGGTCCGTTTCCATCGTGACACACCTGACGCCCTGAGAAGTGTGACAGCTGCATCGCCGCGTCGCCGCCCCCTCTCCCTCCGCCTCCCTCGCCTCCACCTGGTCCCCGGCTGTAATCACACAGCTTCACGCTCCAGGGCCTCGCAGCGCTGATTGGAGCCTATCTGACGGCTGGCAGGAAAAACTATCGGAGGGGATAAAATATTCACACACGGCCGTTAGAGGATCCAGAGGGAGAGTCTGAAGGCATTAGCCGGAGCCCGCAAACATCCGCCCTGACAGTGTTTCCCAAACGTTGAGCTCCCCTGACAGGTTTTTTCTCCCTTCCTTAACACCTCCCAAAGTGTCAGTTTGAACAAAAGCAGCGAGTCACAGACGTGCCCCAGAGTGGGGATCTATCGGGATTACCTGAGGAAGGCTCCAGGAGCTTCAGGACGCCGCGCTACAATGGTGCATTTCACAACAAGACCTGCGTGTTCCTATTTCACACCAATCTGTCTGTGGGCCTGAGGGAGACCCCGCCCCACTCCCTCACCCACTCACTCCCTCACTCCCTCACTCAGTCACAGTGAGACCATTAAAGTGCTCACCCTGCACTTCATTTCAAAATAAAAAATAGGCCTCGCTCTCTTAAAGCGGTTCCACCAAAAAGAAAGAAAAAAAAAAATCCTATCTCTCTCCAGTTCCCTCTCCAACGCTCCTCGCCGCTCCATCCATTTTTATACCCATGACAAGTAATCATCTCTCCCATCACTCCGGCCTCTTTCATCCCTGCACTCTGAAGTTCTTTACTGAGGGAGAAACTCATTGTAATCTCATCACAGTTTCTCCCGGAGAGCTTTCTACCTGAGCCTGTGGTCGAGAAATGAAAGGTGAAGATTGTAGCTCAATATGTGACGGGCTCCCCGGGGGGAAAGAACAAGCTGGGCAAACAGAGCGGCTCTCATCAGAACACGTCTGAAGTGAGTGTGAGAGGGAGCGGAGCGGCGTGGAGCGCCCGCACTGACCACGGCTTTCCATCAGGATCAAATTGAACCTCTTCCATGTTTTTCTGTGGGGTATCAGGGGAGAGGAGCGCTCCTGTAAGGTTCTGTGGGCGGCGGCAGATCTGCAGAGCCAGCTTCCATTTTGTTCTTTTGGGTATAAAACAGAGCGATGTGGCGGCGTGGTGTTAAATTGTCTTGATAGGTCTGAAGCGGTGTGTTTGCTTGCCAAGCGTGAGTAGGAGGATCAATAGACTGAGGATTAGGAGTGAATGCATATGAGCCTTTTTCTGCTGAGACCTGAATCCGCTGGTTCGGTTGGTTTTTGTGGCCTCCGCACCGTCAGATACTTCAAAATGGCAGCTGATCAAACACACGCCGCCGCGGCTGCTTCTTTTAACCCCCTCCTTTTTTTTCACGCTATATGTGTCCTCTTATGTCTGCAGGTCTCATCCGACTGCAGGAGCTGATCAAGGCGCCATCACGATACAACATCCGTTTGAAGATCCGACAGCTGCCCACAGAGACCAAGGACGCCAAGCCACTTCTGAAGGAGATGAAGAAGGCCAAGGAGTTCCACGTCATCTTTGATTGTGGACACGAGATGGCGGCGTGGATCCTGAAACAGGTACAGGATAACAAGCCCGATCAGATCCTTCATCAGGATCACTGCGAACACGCACACCGCCGACTTTACATCAGAAATGACTCTGATGAAACGGCGTTTCGAGGAAAATCGGCAACAAACGGTGAAAATACCGTTTACAAATGTTATCGTCTGATTAAAAAACAGTTAAAGGTACAACAACGGTGGCCCTGAAGGACAAAAAGCTCCTGTGATGCACGATAAGTAAGATCCTCTATACCATCAAGAACATCGATCAGTACGAACTCTTTCATGCACAGAAACCACCGTTCTCCAACCTTGAATTTCCACCGTATCCTGAACAGCTCCGATCAGAAACGGCAGCAAATTTTCGCCGTCCGCCAATTCCTACCAGATCCGTTTGTGAGGCGAATTTCTTGGCGGATTACAGACAGCGGTAAACGTGAGAACTCACAAGAACCCGCAGATCCACGTTCAATCGCACGATAACGAGTCGTCTCTCTAAAGACAGACACATAGACATATAAGCAGTAGATTGTGTCCTTCCAGAGGAGGAAATCTACTTCTAGACTTCTAGATGTTTAGCCGGATGTTTTATTTTGTGTCTGTGCCCGACTTCCTTTCCAGCACGGGTTAATCTGTGCTGAATTTATCCGCCATGCTCCGGCGTCCAGAAAAAATAGAACTCTTGTGATCAGCTGAGGAGTCCGGCGATCCGCAGAGGAACGGAAAGAAGTCGGTGTAAATTGACACGTTAACTTGAATGGTTACGATCAGCTACGATCGGAGGATACGACCTTTTAGGAGACGATCAGGATGATGGTGGAGGTCGGGGGTTAGTGATAGAAATACCTGACCGAAGATCATCAGGTGATCCAAACGAGGGATTGTGGAAACATGGCGGTGCAAGATGGCGGATTTAGGTGTAGATATGAAGAGCCAAAGTTAGGAAACAAAAGTATTATCAGGTTTAAGTAAATAAAAAATAAATAAAAACACAGTTACTCCATTTCTACAGAGTTGAAAACTACGTACTGCTCCTTTAAAAGAACATCAAAAACATTAAAGTTATTTAAACTAACGATCTGTTTTAATAACCTTACTAAAGGAGGCTGCTGCCCGCCGACGTGGTGAACGCTGTTGTGTTAGCATTAGCCGCTAATCTGTGAGCTAACCAGGCCGTGTGTTTTCATGTCTCTGTGAAGATTCAGATTTAGTCTTTTGTTGTTTTTTTGGCTCTGAATGAAACAGGAGCGAGAGACAAAAACAGATCAAACTCAGAGTTGATTTTGACTCGTCACGCTGAGCTCGATCTGGACGTCTAGTTCCTGTTTTATACTTTAACGGGTCCATTCAGAATAAACGAGTCATTTGGCCGAACATGGAGGCAGCTGTTAGTGGAGTTTAGGAGGAGTGGAGTGTGAGAGCATGAGAGAGTCGGAGATTTAACTCTCATTGGAAAAAAAACAAATTTGATAAGACGAGTTTAAAAGTGATAAAAACAAAACGAGTTTAAAGATGAATTTACCCTTCAAAATAAAAGTCTAAATAAAGTTTTAAACTGATTTCTTCTTCTTCAATGTTAGTCCAGAAATAGTTCATTATTGTAATTAATGGATTTATCTCCTCTGAAGGTTCGTGTGTGAAGAGCTGTGAGGTTGAAGGAACAGGCGACTTTCTCTCAGCGCCTCCTGAACTGAATTAAATCTGAATTAACTCAGTTCCTACATTTCCATAATTCCCTCACAGAAACACAGACTCAGTGTTCATGGAGCCGCAGTTCATTCATCATGTAAACGCACTAAAAACAACATGAGAGTTCCCCTCCATCACTGCTCCTCTCTGTGAGCCTGGACTGACTCGTACCTGCTCCTCTCATTCCTCTGTAGAATATCAGATCTCTACCACTGACCCGTCATAATGGATACTCTC